ACCAATGTCACCCAAAACTCGCCAGCAAGGGGATTACTAGCATACACCTGTGATCGGAGGGGCTGCATCACATTGAGCAGCACCTTGGCTTTGATGAAGTGTCCCGGCATGCCTTGGATTGCATAAGCACCCGCCTCCATCACCGTACCAAGTTTCGCCCCTGCCACTCTCTTCCCAAATGCGACCGTCCGACAATGAGTGGGAATTCCCCACATTTGAACCCAGAATGGGACCATTGTGAAGGAATCCACTAAAGCTTTGGTGATCTGGCTCCAAGGTTTCAGTTGAAGAACCCTCTCCTTCACTGTCCAAGGAGTCCTGTGCAGCACCCAATCTCGATCTGCCTCATCTGCAAAAAAGAACTGCAGTAGCCCCATTTCAGCCGCCAAAACTCTGACCTCCACTGCACAATTCCACTCTCCATTCACTATCTTGCTGATAACCGCCAAGCTTGGCGGGTTATCCATAAACAATCTGCCTAGTAGGCTCATCTTGGCCCATTGCACCCCTGTAGCCACATCATCCATCGAAAATTCAACAACCTGATCCATTGCCATGGCTTGGATCCCAGCAGCCACTTCATCCACCTTCATCGCGTCCACCTGTTGTTCTGTTTCTTTTTCTCCGGTCACCTGCATCTCAGTCGGCACCGCCATCACCTGATCATCAGAGACACCACCAGAGCCCGACCCCATCACCGCAGGTAGTACCACCTTCGCCTGAGCAGCAGGGACATCACCAGGGTTCGCCATTTTCTGGAAAAAGAGCCGCTGGATACCCCAGTAGAGACCCCAGATTAGGCCGAAAATCACCAACACCGGTATGAAAATGGTACCCAGAAAGCCCAACCATGATACTATAAGGATTGGAATCATACCTCTCGAATAAATCCACCAACGATTTGGAACCTCTCGTCGCCAATATAAACGCCACCACTGGAAGCACCGAGCTTTTGTTGGTGCGTTTCCCAGTCTCTCCTGAGAGACTATATAGGTCCATTCTGGAGCTAATCGGAGAACCGTACTCTGGACGGATTCTCGATTCGGGTTTATCTTCCCCGATTTGCGAATCTGAATATACCGCGAGAAATAGTCGATTTCTCTAACTCGACGATTAACCACTGTTCCTCCCCAATTAGGAGACCCGATGTCACGATCCTCGTCAATCACCTCTTCCCTGGACTTCGATGGAAGCACGGCGCCGATTTTTACTCTTCTCGGCGCCCAGTGCACCACCGTCTTCAAAACCCTAATCAGGGCAGCCGCGACAAAGACGATGAGAGAGGCGAGAGCTTCTTTCATTTTTTTTTTTCATATGCTATCCCATCTCAATCTCCTTCTACACTAATGATATGATTAGCTCATTTATAAATAAATAATGTAAATAATGCAAAGTGCTCGAGTACTTTACCATAATTCAGCCAACTACTAATTAGGTGGGAAATGGTGTAGTTTGATTCAGATTAGATTATATATACGATTTATGTCCCGATTGAGGGACTCGGAACATAGATACGATATCAGACGAAATAATATACGATATCAGACTTGAAACATGAACAATTTTTTTTTATTCACCATCCAAAAAATTCAACCGGTAACTAGCGACAATTCTATTTTTTGCCTTAATATCCAAATTCCAACATGTATGCATGATACTATCAAGTATACGAAGGATCGATTTGTAGAAGATTCAAATGTATAGGATTAGTATTGTATGTAATTAGGTAGAGTAGGTGCTAATATGTAATTTAGTTAGTCAGTTAGGACCTGTAACTGATTTTCCCTCCTTTTCACTCTCCTATCTTTCTTTGTAAACCAAGTATAAACCAGCTGAGTCAGCTGGATAATGTACGTTTCCAATAGATCAATCAAGAAATCAAGTTTCCCTTCAGTAAACTAGCACGGTATCAGAGCTCAACTAAGCCGATTTCGTCTCAAATCTCTTGCTTCCGTCTCTCTTTTCTGTCTGTAATCGTTCTCCTATGGCGATTCACGATTCTTCCTCTGGCGACGATGCCATTCCTGCAAATCCTCACATTGGAGGTCGCCACATCGGCATCAATGGCGTTCTGTACAAAGGCATTCCAATCTCCGATCCTACCTCGCCATTCTTCATTCATCCTTCAGAGAACCCAACTTCCACCATAAAAAGTCATAGAAACATTAATATGATTTCATATAAAGATGCGATCATCTCTACTCTCTAACGGGATGTGATTTTTGTGAATGAAGGCGCTGAAAAAAATTGTAAAATTAAAGTAAGACTTGGGTCTCACTGAAGAGCAGAGAGAGCGGTCGAGTGTACTGCTAACACGAATTGCAAAATGGTTTGGGTTGGACTGTATCCACGATCTGGTCATATGAACTAAATCAAAGGAAGATATAAAACTTGGGAGTTGCTAAAGGTCGCCCTTAAAATTGCTAAAGGTCGCCCTAAAAAGAATCAAAGTTACACTTTTACCCCCTTAGCTTCTTTACCTTCCATTTATCAAACAAACACCACTTGGACTAAAAAAACACTATCTAAGGAGAGAAAAATCCATCATCGTCATTTTGAAGCCGATATCGTCGGAGTAGCGACTCCGACGAGGTAAATACATTAACTGAAAAACGAAAAAAAAAAAGGAACCGCAAATCACCTGCGGTTGGACCATGGCCGGACCGCAAATCACCTGCGGTTGGACCATGGCTGGACCGCAAATGACCTGCGGTTGGACCATGGCTGGACCGCAAATCACCTGCGGTCCAGCCATGGTCCAACCGCAGGTCATTTGCGGTCCAGCCATGGTCCAACCGCAGGTGATTTGCGGTCCGGCCATGGTCCAACCGCAGGTTGACCGCGGTCAGCCGTCGGTTCAACCGCGCGTTGACCGCGGTTGACCGTCGGTCTAACCGCGGTTTGACTGCGGTCGGCACGGTTTTTTTTTTTTTTACCTTCTTCTTCTCCGACGAAGCCTTCTTCTCCGGCGAAGGCTGCTGCGCGGGTGGGATCGCGGGAGTTCGGCGCGATGGAGCGAGGTGCAGAGAGAAGGGAACGCAGGAGAAGGTTTAGGTTTAGGGCTTGTTTGTTTGTTTCAATTTTGATTTTTTCATTAAGGGTATACAGGTAATTTGACATCTAAGTTAGGGCGACCTTTAGGCGACATTTAGCAATCCAGTAAAACTTCCCATAGTCTGAATCCGGCTCAGGCAGAATTCCCAACCGCCGCTACAAAACAAGTACACGAGACCACCCGTACCCGACAGTGTCGCCGTCGCCAAAAGGGACATGAAATCGACGTTGCCTTTCGTCGGCTTTCTGCCGCCAGAGAAAAAAGAAGAAGGAAAAAAAAAAACCGGGGCCGCCGACGGCGACGACGGAGCGACTCCCCCCGCCAGAAGACGACAGAAGCTTTGGGGTCATGGGCAGTTATCACATGCGGATAGGCCCATCAGTTCATTTCCTGGGGCTGTCTACTTGGTCCGGTGGGCCCCACAATCGCCCGAAATTCCTCTTTCCCCTACGACGATTCCCGCCAATCAGCTGGGGGCCCACCACCTTCACCGCCCTTTTCCCTCATTCGCTGTACGGTCTGATCTATCCAGTCAAATAACGAATATGTGTGTGTATACTAAACTCAGAGCGCTAGCTGCTGCAGAATTCTGTTCATACCATCATCTCCCTCTGCTTTACATCGTTGGATTCGTCCTATGTCGATCGAGACGTATCGCGTTGAAAAGTACCGTGTCCAACGATGTAAGCATGTACTAACACTGATTGGCGCCGAAGAGCATTGAAGCCTCTGTAAGAGAGTGATAAGGTATCAACTTACTAACCTTTTTTCCAACAACCCGAGTTATTGGATAGTGATCTACACTCTTTTTTCTCTCATTTGTCTTCATTTGTGTAAGTACCATGCTTTGCTAGCTAGCTAGCTTACCTAACTGTTATAAGAAACTACTATACAATAATTTGGCAATGTAGCTAGCAAACCAACAACAAGGCATGATCATGATGAACACATCCAACGTCCCACTTTACAACTCATGCATGTGTGTATAGAACCGCACTATCAACGGCCGCCAACCCATCCACGTGTCAGCAACCCATCTTCACCTTAGGGACGAAGCAAAAAACGAATCTCTCTCTCTCTCTCTACAATATCTTATTGAGAGAGATTGGCCTCTTGCCTCTTGGGCGAGCATCGTCGAAAAGGGTTAGCCACGGTATATCTCTTCCTTATTATATCCATGTTCCCTTCGACCCCCCCAAAACCAGAAAATTTGATTTCCCACAAGCTCCAACTATTGAATTTGTGAATCTTTCTTGGACCACCATTCATTCACACATTCATATTCCCATTTCTTTCTCTCTTCATAATTCCCCCATTTGCCCCATCATCATTGCATCTACTCCATCGTAGTTTTCCCATAGATTGAGGAGTAGGGGTATGTATGTATGTATACACATATCGGGCCGAAAAATTCGGAACAAGTTGTGTTGGAGCATGTATCGTCGTTTTTTCTCATATCAGATCGAAACTTTAGATTAAACTGTGTCTGACATGCATCGTAGTTTTTCTCATATCATACTGAAATTTCAAAGCAAACTATGTCTAGTGTATATCGTCATTTCCTTACAGAATAAATCATGATGAAAAATACGTGTATATCGATCGGATGATAATTATTATTTGAATTTGACGTATTTTAGACGTCATCATACTATGTAAAATTTTATAGGTTAATCGACAAGACGCGAAACATACCACTTATGCACTATTGGAGTATTAGTAGTGAATAGTTTTTGGGTCATGTAGAGGGTTACATGGGGGAGTAGGGAGACATATTTATAAGGCAAAGAGAGAGCCAAAAGGAAAGAAATGCTCACTAGTCACTAGCATCCTCCTCCATTCACCTTCCTCATTTTCTTCACCAACCTCATCTCTTTCTCCTCCTTCATCTCTTGATTTGGGGCTTGATTATCCATCGAAAGTCTGAATTGGGTTCAAATTAATGATGGGTTTGAGCACAAAGCAGGTTTCTTCTAACGGAGGATTGGACTGGAGCCAGAGCAGCCTAATCCTCCAGCCGCCGCCGCAAATCCTCCATCCAGCGGCGGCGGCTGCAACGAAGCCGCCTCCTCCACCCGACCCGACGGGCAGGAGGCGGCATCGGACGAACCCGGACCACAACCGACCCGACCCGCCGGTGAATTGCCCTCGATGCGACTCCGCCAACACCAAGTTCTGCTACTACAACAACTACAACAAATCCCAGCCCAGGTACTTCTGCAGAGCCTGCAAGCGCCACTGGACCAAAGGCGGGACCCTCCGCAACGTCCCCGTCGGCGGCGGCCGGAAGAACAAGCGCCCTCACAAACCCTCCTCCGGCTCCGGCAGGGTCATTAACAAGGTCAATCCCAAGAAGATGGCAATTCAAGCGCAGCAGAATAGGAAGCCGAAACAGAGTACTAATTCTGGAGGCAGAGCATCATCATCATCAAACGACACCGTTTTGTGCGGCTCGTCACTATACTTCCCGTCGCCAATGTGCGATTCCGTCGTCGCTAACTTGGACGGCGAGGAGGGAATCGGGTTTGTGTTCACACAAGGTCTGAGCTTTCCTAATTACTCTGCCCAATCCGCCGGCGCCGTTGCAGGTTTCGAGGGGCAGTTTCTGGGCTTGCCGTTCGGCGGCGGAGTAGGGTATGCTCCAGCCACGTGGCAAGTTCCGAGCACCGTCAGCGGTGGGAGTGGGGATATTAATGATGTAGCGAGTCTAGCGACGGCGACGACCACGAGCGGCGGCGGCGGCGGGTATTGGAATTGGGATGTCGACATGGATAACTTGTTGGTTTCTTCCGCGGATCTCAACATTCCGTGGGATGATTCTGAGATTTTAAATAAACCATGATCAAGTTTAATTAATTCTAAATTAACTGATTTAAAGGTTAGTTTTAGTTGGTGATTTATTGGGTTTTTTTTATAGAGATTTTATTAATGATTTGGGATGAGGGTTTGGAGGAGAGGGATGTTTCATTGTTTCTGTAAGAACAATGTGGGTTAGTGATCAGTTTGTTTTTAAATTTTTTGGGTTTTGGTGGGGATTTTGATGTATTATGGTATAGTAGATTAGTAGTGTGGAAGAAAAAGAAGAAAAGGAATGGGAACAGTTTTAAGCTGTCATTTTTAGCTGAAGCTTCAGGCTAAAGTCAATCAATAGTGCTCCTACCTTAATTTTGTGAAACTACTCTCTTTTTATTCTCTTTGTCTATCTTTGATCAATTTTCTCCTTATCTTCTTACTACCGATGATCATAATGACGCTTTTATATGTTCTCCTTATCTTCAATCAATAGATCGAATAGTGGATGATTGTGGTTTACCGGGGAAGCAAACACATCACAATCTTTTAATTTTGCTTTCTGTACCCTATACGGATCACAACCATTTGATTCTCGATTGGACGACTGAGAACACACAAGAAATGACTGGGCAAGCTCTTTCTCCATCCCATGAGGCATATTTTCTTTTTGGTGCGTGGGCGTGGGTAGATATTTAAATTACCAATAATATTGTGTCTTGAGAATTGAAATATGGATACCGTAGATATCATATTTCATTCTTATATTATCTGATCCGTAACATGTGTTTATCGGAATCCGAGTTGGATGATATGCGGTCCAATGTGTCCCGAAAAATGATGCACTTATGTTTTCACAACAGTCTTGAAAATGAAAGATGAAATTACATGAGATGTGAAATTTCTCTATGAAATTATATGGATTGTGAATGTATTAGAGTGTTGTTTTGCATCGGTGTCACCGAATCAATTTGGTGTGTGTTTGGTTGCTTGGGAAGTGGGGCATGGGTCAGCGGTAGTGACATGGGGTGAAGATGGAGACTCACACACAGCAAGGAAAGTGACTTTGGCTGAATGATAGGGAAGTGATGGAAGATTCTCTTGGATATGGTTTCAATAGGCTGGTTTTTGTTTTGGATATGCATTTTATGTGAAGGCTTTTTACAAAATTTTCATGGTGGAGAGTTGTTTGTAGGTTCACCTCTACCACCAATAGTTGGAATGTTGGAATCATTCTGGGTTCTGTTTCTCATACTATTACAACAAAACCTCATCAAGAATGGTTGCTTCCTAATATCAATTGGTAGTTATTGGATTGGGTTGAAGGCTTTGATCTAAATGGTTCGCGATCGAATTGGGTCGTCTGGCCTCGTTCGATTTCTTGAGCCACATTTTTCATTTCCAATCTTGGTATAGGTTGACGGTTGAGCCGGCAAACTCCAATCAGTTGTTTCTTTTCTATTATGTAAGGAAATTACAATAAGGATTACATTGAATCAAGAGAGAAAAAAATTAGGATTTCTTTTTTATTATGCAAGTTAATTGTCTACTCATATTGGAACTCGAGATTTTTGAGCTTGCACGTAATACTTGCTAGAAACGGCAGATAAGTTGAAAAAGAACCTAACAAGTTTGATTCGAGTAAAACGAATATCCATTATGTTTCGTTTATGTGAGCATATGCTGATAAAACAGCCATTTCAACTTAATCAACTCTAGGATTCGAAAGCGATTGCATATTTACTTTCAATAGAGAATTGTTGGGTCCTTATACACGACTCGGATCGTTTTAAACCAATAACTATATGAATGCAAAGATTATTCCTATAACAACTTTTATGTTAAACCCTTCTCCATAACCCCTCTTTATTCATTTTGGGGTTTTCAAATGGATGCTCCATTGGAGAGTTGAATTTGAAGGTCTTTCCATCTCCATATATAGTGAAATGAATTGACAAATTAGGGAAAGCAAAGTCCAGGAATCATGGGCCAAAGGACAAAAGGGAGCATCAAATCACACAGGCCTAAGTTCCTTCAAGGGCGGCGGTCTATTGGTACCTCAAATAGGGAACAAGAGGCTGACTATTCCACAACTGTCCAAATTCAATCCAGTCACATTTTCCCCCATAGTTGTACAATGTCATCTACAACAATGCATTATGATTACAAATATGTAGTAAATGAAATAATCAAATGCGACGGTCGATAGCTAATCAATCCACCGATAAAGGAGCCGTTTTAGTCACTAAATGAGCAGCTCTGTCAGTATCCTAAGAAATACAACAAAGAATACAAGCGTCTACACAACACACGCCAAAATTCAGAGAAGCCGGAGGATTATCTTCCTTGTCGATAACAAAAGCAGAGCAGACAGTCATTCCCTGCAAAATGAACCAACAATAGGCAAAAAGAAACACAGCTAGCCGCCAAAGACTAGCTCAGTTGTCAATAAAACAACAAACCAGAACCGGCTCAAACGCAAACCCTTACCTCCAAAAACAAACCTACAAAACCCGTACACAAACATCCATAATATCAAATAAATCATTTTCGTCTTTGGTAAATTTACCAAGGGCTATAGTCTCCACCCCTAGGAGGCTTAGTAACCATAGGAATGGACCGGTAAAAAACAAAAGCGTCCGGAGAGCAAAATAAGCCCAAACAAAAGTCAAGTGATCCTAGTTTAACTAAAAAGCAATATAAAATAATAAAAATATTAGTTTTTTTTACCTTTTTTTAATTGGATTTGCAAGACCTAAATATAAAATAATAAGAATCATAAATAAAAACAACCACCCAAAGTTAAATAAGTTGTACATATCATATTTAGTTAATGAAATCAATTAAAACCTATAAACATTGTGAACAGAAAATTTAAAATTTAAATAATCTAAAATTTAAAATACCAATGAATCACATATGAGTATACAAACGACGAATTTAAATTACAAAATTTTTCAAATACCATTGAAATACACCTAATGTAACCCCGCACCACCCTGTCCTCTTTCTACCAAGTTCACATGAGTATGTACGAGTGATTTTCATACTACAGCCGCCCCATGGTGACGCCGGCGTCTCTGGCGACGGAAGGCATGCCGTCGCTGGCCTTGGAATGGTTGATGTAGTACAACTCCGACGCGATCCCGGTGAAAACAATGAAAGCAGCTCCGGCGCCGAAAATCCCTTTCCTCAACGCCTTGCAAGAGAAGGAATTCGTCAGGTACACCGTGTGCTTGGCGTTGCGGATTGCGCCGGCCAGTAAGCACACCTCCGCAATGATGAAGAACACCCTGCAGAGCAGAGGAACCGCCCATGGCCGAATTAAACTTGTTCATGGTCGATCATGAGAGAATAGATTTACCCACTATTACAAATCAATTGGTTTCAGTTTCGAATAACTTCAAACGAAACGTTTTGTTGGTATGACTAGAAGACAAATTATCTGTCATCGACGAAAAGTTATGAGGTCATATGATATTCGGTCAACGAGTCAGGGCTCGAGATCGAAACGCCCCATTTAAAGGTTCTGGTGCTACATGACCCCCATGATATGGGCTTATAGAGGGTTGTTTTACTATTTCGATCGAGTCTAGTCTGCAACATTTTCCTTTCTGTGTTGGGTTAGGATTATGTCGTTCTCTATAATATCTATCTCCACAAAATAGTGAAACTCCTCTCTCTTCTAATCGTTTTTAGTGAACTAATGTTCGTTACTTTCTTGCATTGCTGATTTCTCAATTCGTTACAACAAGATTCAATTACGGGTCATATCGTATATACACTTACTGAGATTTACCCCCTTCATAAAAGCCACTATATGTAGGTCTGAACTTTACAAATTGGGTCGCCGAGATTCGATTCGATCAGTCAGAAAAGACTTTAATACTATATCAAGAACTGTTAGTGTCAATAACTCAAATTGTTGGCACATGTTTTGATATCTAAATTAAAAAATCTGGCTTCACAACCACGAAACCATATCCTCAATTCTTTTTTTACCATCCTAAATTTAAGCAAACAAGCAGTAAAAAATTGTCAGAATAAAAAGGATAAGGGTGCGCATACCAAGTGGAGACGAAGAGGGCAATGGCCAATGACCTGGACTTGCTGGGCCTCATTGCTCTCCCGCAGCACAAGCACCGAGTCGCCGCCATGAACAGGAGCTGACTCACTAGCAACAGCACCAACGCGCCGGCCCCCAACCCCGTCGCTATATCCGACTCGTAAACGCAGTGCCCATTGTTGTTCACGTCAGTTTCCAGCCTTCCCTGTTTCCCAATTCCACCCCAAAAAAAAAAACAGAGTTCAAATCATGTAAAAATCTCATTATCTTGCTTGATTAGATCGGGGGAGATTTTGAACTCACGGTGTTGCGCCTCTGTTCCGCTGCAACGGCGAGAGAGAATGCAACGACATCGAGGACGAAGACGACGACGATCAGCAGCGTGGAAGCCGTTATTGCCATTGTTGTCGATCTCGGAAGTCAAATCGGGGGCTCTGATAGAAGAAAAAAAAAACAAAAACAGGGGAAGCAAGTGCGTTAAGAGGATTAAAAGCCCACTAGCTAAAGTAGCTAGAAATGTGGAAGCAGTAAATGAAAGAAAAGCTGGAATGAAAAGACAGCTGACCTATTATTTGTTAGAGGAAATTCGATATTTGTTTGGTTCGTATCGATAAAAATATTGTACACTTTTTTGTGTATGAATTACAATTTGGAGCAAAATTAGATTGCAAACATCGATTTTAAAATTTTAATCGTCTGTATTTTTTTAATATACTGGTATTTTTTCCATACTCAAACCCTCCACCTGGATCCGCTCTTGGTTCCAACCGCTCGAGTTGTTGATAGAGTTTCAATTATAAATTAATAAAGGGTCTCGAATCAGGGTCACTGCATTATAAATTAATGTTGCTGACCGATAACGATCATCAATACACATGAGCCTGGCTTAATACTAATTAGGCTAAGACAAATATATTGTTACTTTGTAAGAACTGTGAATGCACCTTCTATAAGAAAGTATAAGGATTAAGGGCAATTTGAACAGCAATAAAAACTGCAAACTAAATAATAAAAATGAAAATGTCAGAAGTGGGATTTGAACCCACGCTCTCTCACGAGAACCAGAACTTGAGTCTGGCGCCTTAGACCACTCGGCCATCCTGACTTGTTTCTTGTTTCTTCTAATTTTATGAATATATCCCTTTATTTTAATGAATATATAGAAATCGAATTTCTAATTAAATTATGGGGTAAAAAGGCAGCCCAATTTTTGGAATATCTTGTTGAATTTGAACTAGCGATGACAAGATGTAAGCGTTATAACATGTACAAATCTATTTGAAGCGGGTATTACCTGCTTCTATCTACCGCGGAACATAGAATGGATACTAATTCCGTCTCATCTTTCCTCTTTGTCGAGCCATTTTATATTGTTGTTTGTATCAATATTTAGTTGTACTTCTCTTCTTTAACCTTTGTTAAATCATATATTCACCCCAATGAAACTTTGGCTAAGTTGAGAGGGAAGTAAGCGGCGTTCTATGGAGACAGATATAATGTTAATTGACTATATTATAATTTTTTTTAACTACTAATATATTATTTGTACACTATGAATTTACCACTGTAACATCATATTACTTTTGTTGTGATTTCACAGATTATAGTCATTGTCAGTATTCAAATCAATCTCATCAAACATGTAAGCATTGGGCTAGGCGTTGGGCTTGCTAGGATTAGTTAAATGGACCTTTTCTTCCCCTTGAATGCTCGAGCCCAGAAGATCGAAGCAGCTAGCCCAGACGAGTTTATCTTTCTTTTATTTTCAAATTTCGATTTCGCGCCATTTTGGTAGTGTCCGCTCCACTCTTCAAATGGGAGATCAAGATTCTATAGGGCTCAGGCCTCAGGCGGAGCCTCAGATTTATGTCTCCGGTGATCGTTTTACTTATCATCTGAAATCACAAACTCCGGCATTGCAGTATTTGAAGTCTTATTATGCTGTTCTCGGCGGCGGAGAAGAAAGTTCTGTCGCCATCAAAACTGAAATGAACAAGAACTTTCACAATATGGTCGTTTCTTTAGAAGGAGAAGGCGACTCCACTATTTACATGGCAATGAATCGGGAGAAGAAGAAGAAGAAAAACAAGAACAAAAACGGCTACATTGTTTGTTTTTCTAGCTTGACGGTCTCGAGGAGAATCAATCGTCGATTTCTCGCTACTTCCCTAATTTCAACCCCAAAAAAAAGGTAATCACAGTTTTATGTACGGAACCCTAATATCGAACAAGAAGCCGGCCACTCCGGCCGTCCGATTTGCAAATCCTCGATTCCTTCAAATATTTTCACCGGGATACAGGTTTTTACTGATTAAGCTCCTGCATCAGTTTGTGATCTTCCTCTATCTGCTGGGCCAACTCTTTCGTCAGCCTATCGGCGCGATCATCGTGCCCGCCGGCGAAAGTGTACACTCTGAAAGCGAATTGGAACGCCCTCCACAACGTCTTACAACACGTCTTGCTCGGTTGACCACCATTGTTAGGAACATCTCTCCTTTCCTGAGAAGAAAGAGCGGGAAAAGCAAAGGTCAGAACTCAGAACCCAGAAATTCTCTGTTTTTCTTTCCCTGTTAAAATTCAAGTGGGTTTTGATTTTAGTACCTTGAGTGCCAACTCCATGCAATTGGAGGACAGGTCCACCACGGCTTCCTTGATTTGGACTAGGATCTGCATGTCGAATTCGATGTTTTGGCCCTTGAATCGCTTGCATTCTTCCTCTTTGTTTCGATCGAATGCATCGATATCTCCCTTCGCCTGGAACGTCTTTTGTAGTGTTTGTTAATAATGATAGTGTTGGCCAATATGGGGGGAATTGAGGGATTATAGTTATGGAGTGCGGATATGAGAGGCTGGTACCTTGTTGAAGTATCGCTCGATCCTGTCGAGAAGTTTATCCAGTGGGGACTCCATCTTCCATGACTGTAGGTCGGTGACTATCCCTTTGAGCTTGCAGTAGAGTGCAGCTGATGACCTTACTGCTTCCAGCTTCTTCTGTGGGAAGCCTTCGAACCTCGCGAGAACCTGCATTGTGGGGGGGCATTTGCTTGGTTTTGTAAATGAGATGTGATTAGCCCAATTTGTGAAACCAAATTTAGCTTCCTTTACAGACCTGTGATTCGTCGGTAAGATTCTCGAGAATGGATTCGACGTGGTGGTAGAAGTTGACCAGCTCTGTCATGTCCTTTGTTTTGAAGTTGCTGATTTCGGTCTTGAGCTTTGCTATGTCTTTAGCGTAGGTCTGGACATCTTCTTCAATTTGTTGGAAGTATGCTGATCTAAGATATTATGCAGAACAGTGAAGTGAGGGGGGAGGGATAAATGGGAGGAAAACGGCAGAGGAATGAAACATTTTGAGAGTTGGTTGGAACCTGAATGCTTACTTCCTTGTTATCTCGGCGAGTGCATCAGCCATTCCTTGCTTCCCACCACCACTGCTGCTGGATTTTGAGCTCGATCTTGCACTTTGTGACTTGACTTGATTCCCTCCTTCTACCTTCCCCTTCAAAATTCTGTACAGACTACCCATTTGGCTTGACCTCTTCAATTTAGTTTGTGCCTTCCTAGGCCCTAGTAGTTTAGCTCCACCACCTGGTGGAGGAGGTGGAGGACCCCCCGGTCCAGACGGTGAAGGTGGTGGCGTCCTGCTTGAACCTGAACCAATTGAAGCTGCCCTTGGTGGTGGCGGAGGAGGAGCCCCCGGTCCAGACGGTGGAGGTGGTGGAGCCCTGCTTGAAGCTGATCCAATTGAAGCTGCCCTTGCTGGTGGTGGCGGTGGCGGTGCTACTAGCAGTGATGATGAAGATGATGAGGATAGTTTCTCCCCTTCAGATATCTTCTGTAGTGGCGGTGGCGGTGGTGGTGAAGCTTGGGAATTCAACCCTGGAGGTGGTGGAGGGGGTTGTTGTGGCGGAAGTGGAAGTGATGTTGTACTTGTGGTAGCTACTTCAGAGTTCGAAACAGGAAGTGGTGGGGGAGGCGGAGGTGGAGCAGCCGATGGGAAATGAAGGTGGGATACAGGTGGACTTCTAGTGAGAAATGGAGGTGGAAGTGGTGGAGGTTGAGGAACTTCAGCTTTTGTAAGCGTGGCACATGAAGGCAGCGGTGGTAGTGGTGGAGGTTGAGGAACCGCACTCCTTTCTGATGTCACCGACGGTGGTGGTGGTGGTGGAGGCTGAGGCTGAGGCTGAGGAACCACATTCGTGTTCAATGTATCCCATAAAGGGAATGGTGGTAGTGGTGGAGGTTTGGGTGGCGGGGTACCTATCTTTGTCTCCGGCTGCCAGCTCAGTGGTGGCGGAGGTGGTGGAGGAGGAGGAGGTGTTGATCCTGTCGTGGCTTCCTCTTCCTTCATTCGCAAGTCTTCTGAGATAACTGGTGAAGGCATATGAACATCAGGCAATGGAACAGGTGGTAACATCAGGAGCTCTTGGGGACGTGCTATTGTGGGAACCTCGTCAACCATTGCACTGTTTGGTTTATCTTCATTCTTGGTCCCAGAAGGTTTATCATCATCCTCAGATGCATGGCTTCCGTCCATTTCAAACACCATGCCCTCGTTGCTCTTTGCTTCCGTTTCAGCCAGTTTACCATCACTGACATTGTTCTTATGGTTGCTGGCGTGATGAGATCCAGCACCATGGGGGAACAAGTGGAAAGACAGACGCTTTATGTCGATGTGATTCAGCTTCCCGACTGCTTGAATGCTAAGAAACCGGAGAAACGGCGATGAGCAGTACAAGTTGGAGAACTCTTCCTCCTTGGGAGAAGGACATGACGTGACCAGCCCAGGAAGAACCGACGTCGGAGTGACTGGGGAAGCACTGAACGGAGTGTTGGTCTCCGAGTAAGACCCTGCTAAGAACTTGTCATGATCAGTTGTTGCTGGGCTGCTGCTATCTGCAGGTTCGATTTCGTTGCTATGATCATCGTCCTCATCTGCTGCGTCGTGATCAGACTTCTTCTTTGGTATTTTGATTAAGCAATTCAGTGTTGCCAATGCAAGCTCAACTACACAGAAAGGGTGATGCTATTAGATTCAAACAAGGGATTTGAAACAGATCAGTTATAGCTCTTCTTTTGGGGGTGGATCAGTCGTTACCTAGTTGTTCTGAGTTCAGTTCATCCATGTTGTTCTGTTTGTATAATGTTGATTGGTCCATCCACTCGTGATTCGTCACCCAAGCGTCTCCAACAGATCTTAAAGCACCACACAAGTATATCAAAACCTGCATAAATATGATTAGCCTGAGACTTCTAGACGAACATCTAAACAAAGAACACACGCATTTTCTTAAAATGCATGCATTCTATGCTTATCCCAAATGCATGGATTCTCAAACAACACGCATTTTGGACAATCACAACTAAACGACCTAAGAAGTTCGCATAGCGAGCAATCAATTGAGCAATGACCTCGTGAATTGAAGCTCCTTCCTTGATCTCTGACAAATCTTTGATGGGTAGGATTTCAGGGTAGAGACTGATAAGATCACTCATGGTTTCCGTCACCAGCTGCCATAAAACAAACAAAACCCCATTTATGACCGAAGCAATGGAGCTGAAGCAGAAGCAACATGAACAAAAAATGTTGGGGCCTTACTTCATTTATGGAAGCAGAGACATCACATGGCGGCAGGTCAAATACATCCCTAAACAGAATGATCTTCTTCCGGAGGTCCATCATCAGGATGAACAGCCCCGTCGACCCGCCCCGAGTCCTGCCATTCTGCTTAGGCCTCGGTGCTGGATTCTTCTCCCTCTTGCTCGAGTGCCCTCTCCCCGCCTGCATAAAAAAAAAATGTCTAATAATTTCTCTCGGTACATTGACAATGCTCATTGCATCGCCAAATCCGTGCATTGATCTCTCCCAAATACGCGGATTCTCAGATTCTAGACCTTGTTTCAGTGTATTCAGGAAAACCCTCTACTTGTATAAGGACATTCGTCTAATGAATGAAAGTTCGATAGAACTACGTACCTCGGGTCGAAAGATTTTGCGTCCCAATAGAAATGGCCTCAACCCGCATAAGATCCCAGTTGGCATTGCTTTGTGAAAGCATAATAAACAATAGAAACCAGATAATCTTGTTAATTCTTGGATCAGAAAACAATGGAGGATGAAATTCAACAAAAAAAAGGGTATTAGGAAAGAATGCAGAAGAAACAGAAAAACCAGCCTAAAGAATAGGATCTTAAGTCAATTTTTTTTTCCTACCCATTCAAAATGTGGTTTTACCTGCAGCCTGGGACCTTCTCCGGCCAAGATGGCCAAGAAGGAAACGGAGGTGCGAATTGGGTTTTCGGAAATGGAAGCCGCCGCCGGTCCGGCCGCCGTCGCCGACGTGATCGTCGTTTGCTTTGTTGATTATCGAGATGAGAATGTGATCGGTCTCGGCGTCGTGCTGTTGTCGTTTATCCTCTTCTTCTCCTCCTCTTTTCTTTTCTTCTTCTTCTTCCACTTGGAGGGTAATCGACATTCAGTGCAGCTCTCTCCCCTAGCGATTCGTTTCTTCTTCTTCTTCTTCTTTCTTCTTTGCCTGTTCATTCCTTCCGGCTAGAATCGTAATTTTTTCCCCCTTCCCTTTCGGTTTCTCCAGAGAGAGAAAGAGAAAGAGAGAGAAGATGGCGGGGGGAGAGCTCCTTTACCTAATGAAAGGCTATATCTATGGAATCAACTAATCCTTGTATCTTTCATCTTTACCTCCGATTCTTCATGAAAATGGGGATTCGGGCAAGGATGTAACCGGTCGGATGATGTATATTTGATTAATCTATCAAAAATAGTTTGATTTTACTCATATTTATAAGTCATAATCATAGTTATACAATATTCGTGTACAATATCAAAACCATACTTATATTCGATCAGGTATTGGGTATTCATAATAATGCGTGGATAATAATTTCTGTTCATAGGTTCAACCAACATGTTTACGAATTACGATTACACGTATGCTAACATTACATAAGTGAAAATTTACACCTAGAAATTACTAGAACGAAGGAAGTTGGTTGAAAAAAATACAGTTTCGTCAAAATACTATGTATGAATGATAAATATCAAATGTTTTAAGAAAAATCATGATTATTTTTAAACAATAAACATATATACATGTATATAAATGTATAATAATCGGACAGGTTCGAGTTAGATAGTAAAAAAATATATGTTCAGTCCATCCACCACCCGCAATATTCGAGTTTAAATTTTATCCAATACCTACAAACAGTGGCGGAGCCAATCCTTTGCTCTGAGACCCACCTTGAGCCTGAAAATCACCAAAACTAAACATATATTTGCTAATGAGAACCAACACAATTTTTTTTTTTTTATTGCAATGAGGCACAGAAATGCCAAGAAGTGAGAAAGCGGGGTTATAGGGGGAGGGTTACAGAGGGAGTGACAATATTCCTAGGTAAAGTCAGCCCACGTTCATCATCCTTTAACGTTTCAATAAGTTGGGTTGGAGGGTTGGCTAGTTCATGCATACCGTAGGGATAGACGAGACTGTGCTTCGAGAGCCAGTCCGCGACTCTATTCCCTTCCCGGTATGTATGCACTAGGTTAACCAGCCAGTCCTGCGCCAAAAGTCTATGAATCGTATTGAGAAGGGAAGCAAAAGGGTGAGCCTGATCAGACCTGTGCTGAATGAGATCGACCGCAAGCTGAGAGTCTGTTTCCGCAATGAGAAATCGGAGCCCCTTGCGCCAAGCCATCTCGAGACCTTGTTTAAGGGCCCAAAGTTCCGCATGAGCAGCTGTACACCCTACACAATCGGATGGGTGATGAAATTATAAATAAGTTTTTAATTGGTTACATTGAAAGAAATATCTTTTATAGTTTGGATGATGAATGTATTTTGGATACTTTTCGGAATATGAAGACACGTCATGTATCATTGTAAAACATTAATATAAATTACGTTATTGCCTATTTTTTTTCCTCACTTTGGACCTCATCTTAGTAAATTTCCTGATTAGGCCACTGCCTAGTGCCTACACACCAAACTGATAAGACGTGCCGGAACAGAACTCAAAATTGGTGAACTGAAAGCCCATAAATCTCAAAAGCCCAATCATCCTGTAAAACTGTAAAACCCGATACACTCATAAAATACACGGAGCCCGTAGGCCCAACCCAACAATCTCATTTTGGCTACTGAAACCCTATTTTCCAGGGGTTGCATGCAGCAGCGTGTGATACAAGGCAACGACACCAATCTAATTCTTCAATGGGGGATGATTACACAAACACAATCCTGCCTCTTGCGCCGCGCCGCCCCGCCATGTCTCTTCTCATCGGAAGGTTACTTCCCCCGCCGGCGGCAATCACCTGCAGTCCCCCACTCCCGCAGCCCGATATTAATCCAACCCTTTATTCCCCCGCCCTCCAATTCCTCACCCAATTCCTCACCCAAAAGTAAAATCAAGCATATATTTTAGGGCTTGCATGTAGCAGCGTGTGACACAAGGCAACTCTCTGTGCCCTATTCTCTTCAGGCGGGATATGCCTCTTGCGCCGCGCCGCCTTGTCTCTAGCCATCGGAAGGTTGATTCTCCCGCCGGCGGCAATTACTTGCAGTCCCTCACTCCCTCAGCCCGATAATCCAGCCCATTGTTCCCCAGCCCTCAAATTCCTCGCTCAATGCTACCACCGCAGCAGGGGAGACAGGGGAATTAGGGTTTTGCGGCGTTGGAATTGGAGCAGAACATCATCGACGCCATTGCAGCTTCGGCGGCGGATCGCTCTCGCCCGTCGCGATCTCGAATCGCAAGGCCTTCCCTCGCTGTCTTAAGACAACGAAAAGATTCCTCGGGACGTATCTCGGGAGGGCGAGTTCCCCCGCGGCGGCGCGTGGTACAGGGCCGAGCCTGCCGGAGGAGTCACACAGTCATCGCGATGGCGGAGGAGACGGGTAATGGTTTCGTAATTTTTCCCAATCGAAAGAAACCCTTTTCTAATTTTTCCTTTTTCTCATTTGGGAAATCGCCAGAAACCGGTCCCCTGACTCACCTCGATCGGCTTCTTAGTGGCAGAGGACGCGGCGGCGGCGGAGGGGGAGGAGGAGATTGGGGTTCGGACGACTACGAGAAATTCATATCGAGATCGATTCGATACTGGTGGTGGTGGTTGCTGCGGAAGGTGCTGACGACCCTGGGAAGGAGGGGAACGGGAACGGAGCTGCCAGTTCTCATCGGAAGGAGTTCCACGGCGGCGGCGGCGGCGTGGGGAGATTTGATGATTGTTTGAGCGCCCTTGGATCGATTTTACTTTGTGTGATCATGTTCCCAGCTATGCCGTTTGGCTTTTCCTTGATCCTAATTGAGTTGAGCAGAGAGGTGTTGTTTGTGTATATGATTGCCGCCGCACTGCTGCATCTAGCACTGTTGTTATGGTTGCTGCGGCGGTGGTGGCTTCGTCTCTTCCCCCCGCCCGGTGGCGCCGCTGATCAACAGCCGGATCCCGAGGACCACGAGAACGAAGGCGACGAAACATGAAGTTGCAGTTCTTGATTTTGATGAACGTTTCTGGTGGCACCGGGCGTCTTTTGCCGACGTGGAATTTCCCAAACCTTATTCCAATTAGAGCTGCAAATGAGCTGAATCGAAACAAGTTTTTATCTAGTTTGGGGTCGATTTTTTTTTACTAAAACTTCCAGTTGTATTTGACACGAGTTCGATTTGAACTCGTGACTCATTAATACACTCACAAGTTCTGCTCGAACTCGACTAATATATTAGCCCACAAAATTGATTCGAGTTAAGGTATCTTATCACTTAGTTCATTAATTTTTAATTGTTCATATCATGCTATTTAGTAGTAATTGGTTTTTGAGTAATCTATGATGCATAGTTTATTCTCTAAATCATAGATGAGTCATACTTGAATAACAAACCCATGAATTATCAAAAAGTCAATAATAAGTTATTAGCCAATTTGCTCATAAGTTGCTAGTTGAGGTAGCTTGCTAGCATAGAGTTGCATGTCTTGATTTTCATTAACCTCTTCTTGACTGCATCATGATGAGTTTGTAAGCAACCACCGATGAATTCTTTCTTGACGCTTGTAAGCTCAGTTACTTTGATGTTATCGTCGTTTCATCTTCCTTCTCTATTCTCCTTGCTTTGATGCTTTCATCGTTTCGTCTTTCTTCTCTATAAGTTTGTGCAATGTCTCCACCTCGTCCTTGTTTATTGTCTTCTCAATTTCTCCTTTCTTTGCTAGTCTCACCTTTTTTTTTTATCGGCACGTCCTTTTCTCGTATTAGTTTTTGCAACTCCTCGCCTCTCTCTCTCTTTCCGTGCTTTGGCATTTTTCACATTTCTGAGATTTCAAAAATCCTCATCTTTTTTCTTTAATACCCTTTTCGACTCTTCCTCCTCCCTTCTGCGATTTATCATCCTTCTCCTCTCGCCTCTTCAACATTTCTTCCTCTTTCTCGGATTCAAATTTTTTCCCCGTGTTTGTCATCATTTCTCTTTCTTAATCTTTCCATCTCATCATCCAACTCTTTCCTAAACTATCGCAACTCCTCACCCTTCTCCTCTCAACATTTTTGCATAATAGTTCCACCATCTTTGCCTTTCATAAGTATTCTCAATTCATCATTCTTCTTCTTTGACTATTCCCAGAACTTTTGGTCATTGTTTGGACTAACCCTCAACCCATGGTTGTTGCCTAGATATTGGTTTAGAATCTCAATCCAAAACATCCACATACATTATGGATGATTCTCGTCTTAACAAGGTACTCCAACGTATAATTTTCCAAATGTTTGAATGTGCATTGGGTAAAATTTCTTTATCTTTGGTGTTTGTTCATACAAATATTGTGACATTTCACATGCATTTGAATTTTTGGATTTATTGTAGGCACATCTATTGTTAATAAAAAGTTTATTGTATTTTCAACCCTAATAATACCATTGAACTCGGCTCATTGGGTGGAATATGAAACAAAATTTTTTTTGGCTAGGAGCTGCTTCCTGGACGCCTGCGCTTCACGATCACGGGGCAATTGTCACGGTATTTGGACTTTTTCTTCTGTTTCTGCACTTTTCGACCTCCAATCGTCCCAAAACTCGTCCTCGACCCTTCCACGCGTGCTAGGACCTGAAATGTATCAAAACAAGCACAACCTAGCGTGAAATATGTCGAGGGACGATGAAATGCAAAGCCAAACCATCAAGAAATGAGGGGTAAAATGTGTCAAACTATTACTTTTGAATTGACATAATATTATGAGCACTTCTACTATGCTATATAGCATTGGTGCTTTAATGTACAACTTAAAGTTGCACCATAACATTAAATGTATAAGTTTAGGTTGTACCATAAAGTAATTTGTACCATTATGTTATGGTACAACTTTACAACTTGAAGTTGTATCATCACATAAAGGTACAAGTTCAAGTTGTACCATAAAAGAATTTGTACAAAAATATAGGTACAATATGAAGTTGTACCATAACGTAAATGTACAATTTTAAGTTGTACCATAAAGACAAAAACATATAACACCAATACTATATAGCATTGTAAAATTTCTCTAGATAGATAGATTGATAGATAGATTCATCGTTCTTCTTCTTTGACTATTACCACAACTCTTCGTGTTTGTTCTCTTTTAGCTTTCACAACTCTGCATCTTTTGTTGCATTCAACTTATCGTAACTCTTCTTTTAAGTTCATCTTCCTTCTCCCACCTTAAATTTTGTAGCTCGTAGTCCATCTCCTTTTTCAGTTGCACCAGCTCTCATCCTTCTCTTTCACCAGTCTATTAGTCTTTATTTATTTATTAATTCCCCCAAAGTTAATTAGTGTTATGTATTGTATGATTGGTTTTGGCCATTCGGCAACTACGACTTTTCAAAAAATGTGATTAACTCCATAGCACCTAGCTAGCAAGTAGAATTAACCAATAACTCAACAATATATTTCTCAAAACAACTTGGATTAATAAATACTACAAAAATTATCAAAAAAAAATAATAATAATAAATACTACAAATATACAATATGCTAGTCATTGTTAAATCGATTTACAGCTGTAAATTTCACGAAAGACAAAACAAACTAATTGAGTAATAAAGAAAGACCTATAATATATATGTATTAAGAAAGACATGGATTAGTAAACTTCCAATCATCATCCTTCATTCTGTGACTACTCCCAACACCATAGCCACCACACAGTAAAATTGCGACATATGTATTAAGGATACGAGGGGAATATAATTAGCGATTTCAATTTTCTAGATTTCGTTTGGATAAAAAAGCATGAAAATTACATCGTACATTCTCAAAATAGATTATCGGGAAAACAACTTATGTAACCCTATATGAGTAACAAGCTAAGACACTTGCACATATAGAATTGACCAGGAAATTACTTGTGTTAAATTAATTCTAACAATTCACCCAGCGCTTGCTTGACGCTTGTCAGCTCAGCTTTGCTTGAACGTAGTTGGTCTCTTAGTTTTTGGAGTTCATCGTCCTTCTCCTTTTTCATCTCTTCTACTTCATTATCACTATATTTACTCAAATTTTCACTTGCCTCCACAACTTTTTCCTTCTTTAATTTCTGCAATTCATCCCCCATTCTCTTTGATTTTGCCGCTTCATCCTCCTTCTCCTTCCTTAGCTTCCGCAATTCTTCATTCTTCTCGTTAAGTTTTTGCAATGTCTCCACCTTGTCCTTGTTTATTATCTTCTCGACTTCTTTATCCTTCTCTCTTCTCAAATTTTCTATCTCTTTATCCTTCTCCAGCCTCAGTTTTTGCAACTCCTCTTCTTTTTCCCTCCTTAATAGTACTTGCAATCCCGTAGTGTCATTTTTCTCCTCTTTGAGATTTCTCAATTCCTCATCATTTTTCTTCAGCGCCCTTCGCAACTCCTCGTACATCTCCATACTAACCATGTTGCCTCCTACCGTCCGTTTCGACCGTTGACCATGCCTGGGGTCGTGGTACCTCAACTCCGAACGGCCCCACCCAGTAGTCGCGGCGAGCCCAACTCCATGGTGGGGCCAGCTGAACAGATCGTTCAGCCGGAGGTAGTGAGCCCCGAACTCAACATACTCTCCCATCTCGTTCACGTCTTGGAAGCAGTGCCCTCCAGGGCTCACCATCAAGCTCAGCAGCTTCAAGTGTTGGGCCAGCTTGGTCACCGCTTCCCGCCCCTCGATCCTGCCATGGCCATCGTAGAACGCCAGTCCATCGTACTTCTTCGTTTGCTCCGCCATGTCGTCGTCATCGTCGAGACTGGTGTTGATGTTTGCAACTTCCCTCCAATGAGTCTTGCGGATGGAAGAGGGATGGGTAAGAGTAGGCTTGGTCAACTCGTAGACTTGGAGGGTAGCTCCATCAGATGAAGCAACAAAGTGTTTGTTGGACTTGAAATCAAAGGGAGCCATTTGGATATTCAATCTAATCTAAATGAATATTGCAGTAGTTGAAGTGCTAGCTTGGGGCTGGATTGTGGGAAGTTTCTTATATGGAGCGTTAGGCTGAATCATTCAAGGTGCTGCTCATTACTAATTTCTAAGACAATTTATAATGGAGAAGAAGCAGTCGGGTTGTAGTTGCGTTGTCATAATTTGAATGGGTATCATGCAACAACAGAGTCTACTCTAGTCGTTATTTATTATTAATTTCCCCATTATTAATTAATTTTTATTATACGTATGTTATGTGTTTGGTTTTGGCCATTTGGTAACGACGACTGACTTTTTGTCATTGAGTTTCAAAGATATAGGTACTATGACTTAAAATTAGTCATTGTTAAATCATCTGTGGTTGTTACTTGACCCAAAACAAAACAATCGAATTAAGTAATTATTAAGAAAGACCTAGACATTAGTAAATTTCCGGTGATTGTACTTCACATTTTGTGACTACTCCCAGCATCATGGAGTAGCGAAATAGGCTCTTTTATCGACAATCCGATTGCTCACGGACTACCGCGTGTGGCTAAAGTCGGTTTTGTAATTGTGTATGTTTGGTTACCGCCTTCTTGACATATCTTGGACAAAAAAAAAACACCACCATCATTTTTTTTTGTCATAGAAACCCTTGCGGATTAACTAGATAAGCACGAGATAGCCACAAAACAACGGCTTCTTCGTGAGAAGATAGTCAAAGGAGAAATGAACAGTTAAAACGAACACTACTAGAGCCAGAGTAGCATAAGGCATTACGTGCCACAACATGGGCAGCCCTATTCGCTTCTCTAGGAGTAAAAACAACAGAAACCAACGACATTTCTTGTAACATTAAGATGACTTCTCGTAAGATAGCTCCCGCAAGAACATCGTTGGCATCAGAAACCGTCAAATGGTGAGCAACAGTAAGAGCATCACTTGTGATCACGACCGGTCGATCCTGCCACTGCCATTGTCGAAGTAATAAAAGCGCTTCTCGAATTGCCAACACCTCCATAATCTTGGGATGAAAAAGACCTGGGAAGAAACCACCCCTTGCAAAAACTGGCACAAGATGATCAAAGCCAACCATACCGATGGCGCCATGAGTCGGAGCCCTGGTAGCCCCATCAATAGCAATGCGAAAACTAGATTGAAGCAGCGGACGAGAATGGGACCGGGGTCTGGGCGGTAACGGAGGCGACTGACAGGGAAGGACGGCAATTTGATGAGAGGCATGATGTGAGAGAAGGTGACGGTACAAGGCAGCAGTGGTAAATTGCGCGTAGGCTGTGAAGACAACATTGTTCCGCCCTTTCCAAAGTCGCCAAAAAAAGAGAACCCAATTGATTATGGTAGAATGATCGGAGTTGAGAATAATGTGCCTTAAAAAGATGGATAAATGCGTGTTTGGAAAAATTCCTGGAGGCAGCTGTAAGCTACACCGATGGCGGAGGGCTAGTGCCACACGACACGAAAGGAATAAATGTTCCAGCGACTCCCCCTCCTCCGAACCACAAATAGGGCAAAAATAGGTACTATGACTGACTTTTTGTATGTTATGTGCTTGGTTTTGGCCATTTGGTAACGACGACTGACCTTTTGTCATTGAGTTTCAAAGATAGGTACTATGACTTAAAATTAGTCATTGTTAAATCATCTGTGGTTGTTACTTGACCCAAAACAAAACAATCTAATTAAGTAATTATTAAGAAAGACCTAGACATTAGTAAATTTCCGGTGATTGTACTTCACATGTTGTGACTACTCCCAGCACCATGTAATAACGAAACAAGCTCTTTTATCGACAATCCGGTTGCTTATGAACTACCGCGTGTTGCTAAAGTCGGTCTTGTAATTATGTATGTTTAGTTACCACCTTCTTGACATATCTTGGACAAAAAAAAACACCATCATCATGATGTTACCACGGTTAAAGAGCCACATAAGTGTGATACAATGTGGTACCCACAATAACCAGCTGAACTATCATGTACAAAAAAATACTGATATGGATTGGTATAAGATTGAAATGCATTCACATTGAGACTATCTTGGTGTATGCATTCAACCACTAGGTATGATCACTGAGGTTTGTTGACGGTAGCAGGAAGGTCATTAGAAATTCGAATTGATTAAGGAAAATGTATTTTTTGGTGCTTTCTTAGACCATCTCCAATGGTTGGGGTAAAGTGCTAAATTTTGGTACTTTTGAGCTACAATGGCAAGAAACAAATGGTGGTAGTAGCTTGGGGGGACAAATTTGGCTCACAAATAGACAAGTAATGCCAAAATGAGAAGCCCACTCGCGGGGAGGGGGTAGGCACGAAACACGTTGCGAGGGGGAAGATGCTTCTCATTCAATGCACCCAACTCTAAAAGTGGTCATAACACGTATAAATTTGAACTTTAATTGGTAGCATTAATCTAATATGATGATATAACATAGAATCACAACTAATTAATCCATTACCCTAACCCTTAACCTTCAATTTTGAATCCAAATAAAAAATCCCAAATTGTAAACCTAAACTCTAACCCTAAATCCCCAAAGCCTAAATCATTCAAATTGAAGTTAATCTTGAATGATTTTTGAAAAAATTCATGTGTTTTCTTGTTCATCATACCAAAAACGACGATTGACATCGTTTTCACATGAATCGCAAGTTCGTAATGACGATTATGAGGCGAGTGCATTGAATGCAATAAAAGTGGTGCGCTCAATATGCCACCATATATATATATTTCCACTATAATTTCCAGATTATTAAGTGATTCAAATATTGGAAGCCTATTTCCTAGGGTTTGCAAGGAGCAGCGTGTGATACAAGGCAACTCTACATTCCTTAACAGCCTCCCGCCATCACCTCAAACCCTCAATAATACTTCGTCGGAGATTTTGGTTTGGCTGACTTTTCTTTCTTTTCTCCTTAGATTTGAGATTTGGAAGGTTGTGAAACCGTTTGTTTAAGTGCTATCTCGGTTTAGGAAGTGATAATGATTTATTTTATCGAAGTATAATTGGTTTATGTCGGTTCATGTTAGTTTGGAGAGCGACGAATAAATTGGAGTTTTAGGTCTCGTAGGGAGGAGGATAGGAGAATTGAAAAAAATAACTTAAATTAAATAATAATTTATAAAAATAATAAACAATAATCTAAGTTGAGATAGCTGGCAGGTGATATGGAATAAATCATTTTGAATTTAACTTGTACTTCATACTTCATATTTGATGATGTGTAAGTCCACATCAGCAAATAGTTAACTGTGTTAAAATTACTAATGAAAATGACTGAATTTGTCAATTCAATTTTCAAAATGTGGCTACATCTGTGTATTTTTCAGAATTATGGCTATCCAAGTGTATTTTGCGTATGAAATAATATCAAATATTGACAAATTCGGTATATGCCTACCCACTTCTACCACTAAGTCAATCCGATTGGTAGAAAAGCCCTTTTGCCATGAAAGCCCATTAAGTATGGTCACAATTGGGCCACGCCCATGTGTTTAGACCCACATATCCAGCAGCAGTACGTAAGCCCGTTTCCCGTCTTCTGTACGAAAGGAAGATGAAAACAGAGCATCCTCCGCCGCCGTCCACTTCTTTCGTTTGCGCGGGTTGATTTAGAAATCCCCCGCCGCCGCCTCCTCCACCGTGGCTCCGGCCTCACGAGCTTTTCTAACAAGGGAGATGAGGCGCAAGCTGCCGCTTCGACACTTGCACTTCCCGATCTGTTTCAGGCTCTAACCGTCGCCTTGGTGTTGATGGGAATAAACCAATGCTGCTTATGGTCAGGCGCCTGCTCGACCCCGTCGTCAAATCCTCTCCAAGCCACCACCGCTGCCTCGTCACCGGGAAACCCTTCTTCAAATCGAGAAGATCTTTAGCTGCAGCCATCAAGCAGGCTTCTTCCTCCTCCCCGCGCGATGGCTTGGGGATCTACTGCAGAATGCACCGCCAGTTTTCAGTCAAAAAGCTCGACAGCTACGCCTTACTGTTCGCACTGAAATCAGCGGCCACTATGAAAGACCCACTCATCGTTCGCCACTTCCACGCCCATGTCGTCAGGGTAGGCTTCGGTGGCAACGTTTACATCGCCACTTGCCTTCTCTCTGCGTATGTAGCTGCATCGTTTCGTGATGCTCGCTTACTGTTCGATGAAATGCCTGACAGAACCGCTGTCACCTGGAACGTGATGATTACAGGGTATGCGAGGTCCGGGGACGTCGATAAGGCGCTGGACATGTTTGAAGAGATGCCGCAGAGGAATGTTGAGTCTTGGTCTGCTATGATAACTGCTTTTGTTCATAGTGGGCGCTGGGCAGAAGGTTTGTTTCTGTTTCGTGAGATGATGATGGCGGGGAATGATGGACCGATGATTATGCCGGATAAGATAACTTTGTCGACTGTTTTATCTTGTTGCGCCCAAATGGGTTGTCCTGGATCAGTACTTGGGAGATCGGTTCATGGTTATTTGTTGAAGATGAATGGGGAAATTGACAACGTTCTTGTGGACATGTATGCCAAGTGTGGAGTTTTCAAGTATGCTTGCCTGGTTTTTTCTGCAATGAAGGAAAAGAACGTCATAGCATGGACTGCATTGATAAGTGGAGCAGCTAGGCATGGATGTAGTGAAGAAGCATTATCATTGTTCGAGATGATGAAAGAAGAAGGCGTCCGACCAAATGAGATGACTTTCACAGGTGTTCTTCATGCTTGTGCTCACACGGGAATGGTGGGAGCCGGGCGAAGGTACTTCAACATGATTGAAGAGTATGGTTTGGAGTATAAGATACAGCACTATGGGTGCATGGTCGACATTTATGGCAGGGCAGGACTAGTGGAAGAAGCTCGCGGGGTCATCGAGAGGATGAAACTTGAACCGAATGCTGCTGTTTGGGGCTCGTTTCTGTCAGCTTGTAAGGAGCACAACCGGTTCGACATGGCCGAGAAAGTGATTGAGCAGGTGTTGGCAGTCATAAAGCCGGAGACCGATGGAGGGGTCTACACTCAGATTTGTGATTTATTTGTTCTGGATGAGAAATGGGAGGATGCTGAAAGAGTGAGGAAGCTCATGCTTAACCAAAATGTTAGGAAAGTCAGGGGAAGTAGCTTTGTCAGGAGTAGAGTGGACAGAGGTTATTCCTGAAGAAATTACAAGGAAGAACAAGTGTAGAAAGTTAGATGGATGAGTTGGAGCTCTTTCTGGAAGCACGATTGACTCCACCCCAGCTATGTCCTTTCAGTGGTTAACTTAACTGATGAATACATTTAGGCGCTGATGAAAAGTTGCAGATCTTTCTACTGCAAATTCTCCTGCAGACCTGTGGGCTGTAAGTGAGCACTCTGAAGCTTACTATGTTATGATCTTTGCTTATTCTCCTCCTGTATTGGACATTGATACAGCCTTTGTATTTTTGCAGCATAAATTTTTGTCGACGGACACCCAATAATCAATATGGACTGGCCGGACGTGTGCCTGGCTCCCTCCCCATGCTTGCAAGATGTACATAATACTTAGCCCCGCCAAGATGAAGGCAAGTGATAGACTCCTAGCATTTTTAGTAGAAAGTTCTGCTCTTAATTCTTTGCTATGTTTGAATGTTGTAGGGAATACTTCCTCTTTTAGAAAACGCCATTGAGAGGGCACATTGAACTGCTTGAACTCAAACCCGACATAGGAAAATATTTGCATATCTGTACCCGGTTACTAGGATTTATTCATTTGTTGGGATCTCATATGACTTGCTTAGCTAGCTCGAACTGTCAAGGGAGATTCATATTGTATTATTTTCTGATATGTCACATCAAACGAAATTCTGTACACTGAGTTTGAAGTTCACCTAGGATCCTCTATTCTGTCCTTAAAGCAAAATAATATTATGAGTTTCGAGGATTTTGCTCGCACATGCTTTTTAGTTCATTGTACGCTCTAATAGTGTGTCGTTGTATATGCATAGTTTGTTTTAATAACTCAAATTGTTTTGAAGATGGTTAAAGGGTTAATATTGGGGGTGGGGGTGTTACTAAGATTTGAGCTCGTCCCAACTGTTGAGTTTAGTAGTTTGCACAGGGTTTGACGATTGTACAAAGTCCATTTTACATTGTGTTTAAGTTAACCGTTATTATCGAAAGCTAAGGTCATTGAAACACAATATCATTTTCTTAGAAATGAACTGAGAAGCGATAATTAAGATACGAAATCAATCGAAAAGCACTATTATTATTCATTAGTAGTATGGTAAAGTGGTCGTGGCCTCGCGGGGCACATCAAATTCTGAACCACTTAAGCTCAATTATTTACAGGTTTGTTGTTCTAGACTTCTAGTACAGAAGCAAATGTGTTGTCTGTCCCAGTCGATTGAAATGATACAGAAGGAATGAATGGTGCTTCTTTTATGCATAAACTGAAAACAGAGCGTGTAATGTTCCTTAATCAAACCAACAACTGAGTTGGCTTTGTTTGCTGAAAGAGGTAGGGCCTTATTTTCCGAGGAGAATATATTGTGTCTCCACCATCTAGGTTTAATTTGTGCAGCCTCCTGATTTGGCTAAAGATTTTGTAGGAGGAAAATGGAGATCTTTACCTTTCTACTAGTATAATCAATCACTAGTTCACAAATTGCAGTCATATCCAGATCCCTCTCACTGGTATGTGTTTGCCACAGCCTGGACATAGCTTCATTCATGCGGGACAGAGATCCACTTCTTGATCTTTCCTCCATCCGGACGCGTCGTAACTCATTTTCACAGGTTTCGAGGGAGGTGGATTGAGAATGGCGTAGACTCGAGTTCGATACAACGGAAGATTACTCTGGCAATAATCCTTTATTTGGCCGCAAGAATGTGAAAGATGACGGCATGATTGCATTGTATATGATCAAGAAAAGATTGAAAGTTGAGGATATGAGACTTATGAAAACTTATGTGAAAACACTTTCTCGTTGGTTTCAAGGACGGGAAATCATAAACTCGAATTTGAAAGAAAATCTTTCTGGAACTATTTTAGAAGATACAATAGAGGAAGCTAAAAAGATGAAAAATTGAACGACTAGAATTCTACAAGCTCGCCCAAAAGTCTGCTTGATGGCCTAAAAGGTTTGGCCATACTAGGAAAGTTGTCTTTATGAAGGAGAATATTTGAAAGTGGTTGAAGCTGGAATGGGTAAAAGAAAATTGACGAGAAGTGGATGAATTTACATCTTGTGACTACCCAAATATGGAAATATTGTATGTATGGCCCAATTCAGTGACAACTCTAAACTTTTGTATAAATTTTGAGGTTTGGACAGAAACCACGCCACTTCACTCTCCTCTCCCAAATCCCTAATCAATGGTTCCCCTTCAATGTTTCGTTTTGGTGGTAATATGAATTTGATCTTGTTTACGGTTATTGATAATTTCATTCTTAAATTAGTGTAATATACAAGTCTTATATGTTATATATCATGGACGGTTCTATCAATATTTTTGTAACTGTTAGCCGCTGAACCCTAAATCACTACCTTTTCCGGTTCAACCCCAGTCATTGTTCTAAAAACAGAGCTAAGTACTAACAAATTTTTCGTGCTGCCCAATCAATTCTTGATTTGGGCTTCCAAATGGACATGTTGCCATCAATGGTCCTTCCAGTACTATCTGGGCTTTTAAAAGGGCCAGGTAGTTAAACACCACAACACCCATCTGGGGCATTTGGCATATTATTATTGGATGGAAAATGAAAGGGAAGAAGAGAACCAACATTAAAATTTAAAGGCAATTCTGCAATCATATCATAATACAAACTACTAATTGAACAGTAGTTCCTCTCTTTGCTTCTTCTGCTCGAACTTGGATAAAACCAACAAATTAACTTAAGTATAATGTATGATATGATAATATACGAACCTTGCAATCTTCAAACTTATGGGGCTGGTTTTTTTCCGACGGTCATGATAGTGTCGGAAGTTCGTACATATATAAAATCCAAATTTTGGTCTTTCTTAACAACTTAATTGATTGAGATGAAATATCAAAATTCTAAACAATCGTCAAACACGCTAGTAATCTAAACGAGATCCATATGAGACCAATCGTTAAAAGTTGTATGAAAGAGTCTTAAAGAGATTCATGATCAACACACGGTTGTATGATGCTCATCTTTCCCCCTCCATTACTTATCATGGGAAGTTTGATTCATTCCTTGATCAAATTTCATGTTGATAAAATGCATTCAAGTCATACCCCATTCTATGTACAAATACGCGCATTCCTGTTGACTATTCTTTTATTTTGGTAATGTTATTCTTAACCATGATCCATGCTCGACGCCGTACGATTTCAGGCAATTTTACGATCGATGTAAAACACACTCACGATAGTGATAATAACGTTTTAATACCGTCACAACACACTTTTACAAAAAAATTGTTAGGCACTTTCGTAATATTTGCAAGACATGTCGATATTTTTTTTTAAATATATCTCATCTTGTAAAATAACTTTTTTTTTTTTTGGATAATTAGAAATAGTGACTTAACATTGGTTATTAGATAGCATCCACGTCAATTGTATAAATTAAATTAAAAATTACATCCAAACAGAATTAGTTCCACAACTTTGGGTTGTGCGCCAATATTTGGATAGGGACTCTTATATCGTTGACATTTCCTAATGCTCATAATTAGTCCAACCAAAAACTGAACTGATATATGTGGGAAATCATTAATGGAATGTAATATAGAATTAGACTTTTTAATCTTAAAATAGGGAAAATGGTCAAATACGACGGAATTGACTTTTCTTTCTTACGCATGAAGATATCTGTTTTACTCGAGATATCAATGAATACGAAAAACAATCATCGTCTTACAAATAAAGCAATCAAACAAGAAAATCAAAAACCAATACGATGAACTTAGCCTTTTTTTCAGTTTTGGCGTAAAAATTCAGAAGTGTCCATTTCCAATAATAGTGTTTTTTTTTATAAATAAAAATAGTAATACCGTTTAGACAATGACATCAATACATGCTACGCTGTCCAAAGCTGGTGCCCTAGCTAGTCATATATAAAACGAGTGGGAAGATAATATATACAAAATATATAATCAAATTATAAAGAGATATGCAGGGAGAAAGAAAATTCCAAAATCAAATACGTGCTCAGGATTGAGCCTCGAGAATTATTGAGATATCACATTTACTCCAACACCTTCTTGCATTAATTTCATCATTAATGAATGAATGAATGAATGAATGAATGAATATACAAGCAAACTACTTTTGGGGTTTGCTACCATAATTTGCAAATCATTTGTAAATTGGAGAAAACGCAACGTCGACCGCTTCTGATAAAAATGTTCGATCGAATGAATCATTACTGGTGAAAACGATGTATTTGGTTACAAACATACATTGTTAATAGATATGCTTGATAGTAAGAGAGTTGAAGTGAGTACAAAGATTGAAGCATGCATGAGAAGTTTCTTGGGTGATTGCTCACCCGTGTGGAAACTGCTCTCCAGAGTTTTGTCTCTTTGATTTGACTTACTCTTTACAAAGATTTCACCTTTCCTCCAAACTCTATTTTTGCTTGTGCTTGTTTCTTGCGATGGAGCAAGTTTCTTGCGATTGTTGCTGTGAAGAGACTTAAAAAAGTAGGATATCATTGTTATACAATTATATGATCTTCAACGTCCACAAATCTCCTTTCATCTTGCTTCTGCAGGTTCTTAATCCAAAAGTGTTAAAAGATGATGTTATTTCTTTCTGTCTAGGCCTATAATTATAATCTCTTAGAGATATGACTGATTGCCTATGGGAGATAGGAAAAGTTGCATTACTACAAACCAATTCCGTACTGTAGACCTCTTGTTGTCCATAATTTTTTGACCGTAAGTAAAAATCAAGTATGATTCTTAGTGGACGTACCGTTTGTGCAAAGTCATAGACAGCTTTCTCCATGCCACGATGACACTTGCCCAACGCCAGAAAAAACCCCAAATAAAACGGTTGGTAGTGGCAAATTCTTATGTCATGTTTCTCTTTGTTGTCACTTATCAAAACTGCATTCAACCCAAATTTAATCGATCATTTCTCCAAATCGATAGACCGCTATTTCTAAATTGCGGGGACCCAACACTGAAATAGAAAAAAAAAACAAATTAAACGGTTGGTAGTGGCAAGTTCTCATGTCATGTTTCTCTATTGTTGCCACTTGCCAAAGCTGTATTTAACCCCCAAACCCCCCCTTCCATTCTTCCCCACCTATCTCCATTCCCATTCATCATCATCAGCAACAAACCAAAAATAGAAACATAGAAGAAGAAGAAGAAAAAAAAATGCTACAAACGGCGCCGTTCTTCGTAACATTCTTCCTCTACATCTTCCGCCTCCTCTTCAGGAACCCACCGCCGAAACCCCTCCGCCGCAGCCTCAGCCTCAGCCACCCCTACGCCGCCGTCCACTCCGGCACCAAAACAACCTACCACAAGTTCTCATCCCTCCGCCGCGACGACGACCCCAACCCCACCACCGCAGTCGTCATCGACGTGGAAGGAGCTCTCCTGAAATCCACCTCCATGTTCCCTTACTTCATGCTGGTGGCATTCGAGGCCGGCAGCTTCGTCAGAGCTGCCGTCCTCCTCCTCTTCTACCCCTTCCTCCGCCTGCTAACCCTAGCAGGCGGACAGGGAGGGGAGCTCGAGCTGAAGCTGATGGTTTTCATCAGCTTCTTCGGGCTCACGCAGAAAGATTTCAGCGTGGGGAGCAGCGTGCTCCCCAGGGCCTTTTTGAGTGACGTGGCGCTCGAGGCCTTCGAGGCCGCGAAAGGCGGCGGCCGCGGCGGAGGGAAGGTGGTGGCGGTGTGTGGGAAGCTGCCGAGGGTGATGGTGGAGAGTTTTTTGAAGGATTACTTGGAGGTTGAGTTTGTCGTGGCTAGGGAACTTAGGGTGGTGGGAGGGTATTTTGTGGGAGCGTTGGAGGAGGATTCCGGCGGCAGCGCCGGCGACGTGGTGAGGGCGATCGGCGGTGGTGGTGATGGTGATGATGATCGGCCGGTTGGGATTGCTAGGTTTAGTAGGGATCTCGACGATCATTGTATTTTCTCTCTTTGCAAGGTGAGTGCTTTTTGTTCCATAATTCAATTCTAGATAATTAGTAATTATGATATCAGTCTGAATCGTAAGTAAAATATATGTCATGAGTCGATTTACGTACAAAATATATACGAGTATTTTACGGCACGTCAGTAGTTATAAAACATATGATTATTTTGAACAAAAATGAATGCATAAATGAAGTTCCAAGTATGAATTCAGTTCACTCAGTATGTGAATATTAAACGTATTATATTTGTTTTATACATGTTTCGTACTAGAGTTATTAAATGAAACAATTTGAAAATAATATAGAAACGTAGTTTTCGAATGCATGAAACAAGTACTTCCATATATACAAAACATTAAATGAAGTATTTACTAACTATGCGTATTAGTGATGTGAACAAGGAATGTGTTTGGAATTACCGGCTGATGGAAGTCTACATCTAAAATTAGAGAGCACTTAACTAAAGAGGGGGGAAAAAAGACAATGGAACTTAACTGTGAACTGATAAGTATAGTGGAAATTGTGGAATTTTATGGCTAGTTGCCACAATCCAACGTTGTTGCCCCAAAGTTCGAACCTAAGGTCTGATGATTGATATTTTGATCCAACTAAGTCAATCTCTCGGAATTTGTTACTGGAACTTTAAAATAAATAATAATAACTTGTTTATGGCTAGCAATCTATAGCAAATCCCATCATAATTATTATTATGATGGTTAAATTTTGATAGGTGGACTGGTAAACAACATAAATACCTTGACACGTGGCACAAGCTTGGGTGTTCCTTAATCCTTATCACATTCACATTCAATAAGACTTATTCATTTCACTCTAATTTTTTTTTTAAAATATGGGACACAAGCCACACATGACCTACAAAATTATATGCATTTCTTTATATTCCGAAGAAAAACATTTCAATTAGTTTTACGACATAAAAACACTCATACCATAGTAATAAGAACGTCTTAACACTGTCATAACACACGTCTTTGCCCCGTTTTGGATAGTGACTCGTATGATTGAGTGCTTGTCCTATACTATAATTATTACTAGCCCAACCGATAACTGAACTGATGGATGTAGAAAATCATTAATGGAGTATAATAACACAGTATGAATTTTCCTCTTCAACTAGGGAAAAAGTCAAAGACGCTAGACCTGAATTGTCCTTGTTTTGAATGGAAAAATTCACAAGTGTCCAATTCCAACAACATTACCAAAAATTTTTTAATAAAATATAGAAATTCCCTTCAGACAATGACATTAATACATGTTGTGCTATGCTGTTCAAAAATAGGTGCCATATTAATGTATAAAACCAGTGGACAGATAATATACACACAAATACAATCAAAATACAAAAGAAATACGCAACAGAAGAATAAAATACGTGCCCGAAACTGAACCTTGAGAAACACGAGTATCTTTTGAAGACATAAAAAATTAAAATGAAAATTCCCCACACAACAATTATTGAGATACCCCATTTATTACACACCAGCAGCATTGGCACTTCACCATTAATGGAAAATGAATAACACTATCAAATTAAAAATTTAATACAAAGAATTTATTTTTAAGAACAAAGTCTAAACGGTGTAGCGATGACAATTTTGGACCTTATCTTTCATGCCAGATATTATCCGATCATCACAGTAGGATCGAGTTATGAGTATTGCTTCCGAATAACACATATAAAAAACCAGTCCGTCACACGTTCCGCATGGATAATACCCAACCTGATCCGCGCAATTAGTACATAATACGTGTGTGTATGACTATCGAGATATCGCGCCCCCTTGTTTCCATCAAATATTAATATAAACTTTCCCCTCTCTCTTTTTTGTTGCCAACAGGAGATTTACTTGGTGAGAAGGGCCGACAAGGCCAGCTGGCGAAATCTCCCCCGTGAAAAATACCCCAAGCCCCTCATTTTCCACGACGGCCGCCTCGCCGCCGTGCCGACGCCGCTCTCCTTCCTCGCGCTCCTCGTCTGGACTCCCTTCGGCCTCCTCCTCGCGGCGGCCCGCCTCGCCGTCGCCATCACCCTCCCCTACACCTTCTCCGTCCCCATCCTCTACTTCTCCGGCTTCCGAACCGTCATCACCCAAACCGCCACGTCACCACCAAACTCCTCCGCCGCCGCCGCGGCGGCGCAGAAAAAGGGTCAGCTCTACGTCTGCAACCACCGCACCTTGCTGGACCCGCTCTACCTCTCCTTCACAATGAACAGAAAATTCACGGCCGTGACGTACAGCCTGAGCCGGGTCTCCGAGCTGCTCTCCCCGATTCCGACCGTCCGGTTGAACCGGGACCGGGTTCGGGACGCGGAGATGATGGACCGGCTGTTGGGCCGGGGTGATCTCGTGGTCTGCCCGGAGGGGACCACGTGTCGGGAGCCGTATCTCTTGAGGTTCAGCCCGCTTTTCGCGGAGCTGACCGACGAGGTGGTCCCCGTGGCGATGGATGTCCACGTGGACATGTTTTACGGGACCACCGCGAGCGGGCTGAAGTGTTTGGATCCGCTGTTTTTTCTGCTGAACCCCAGGCCCGAGTATTGTATCCGGGTTCTGGACCCGGTGTCGACTGGGCTTCGGCCCGGTGGGAATGATGGGCCGTCGAGGTACGACGTGGCGAATCGGGTTCAGCGAAGGATTGGGGATGCGTTGGGGTTTGAGTGCACAAAGCTGACGAGGAAGGACAAGTACATGGCTTTGGCGGGGAACGAAGGGATTCACTACAACCCATGATTTTTTGCGTGACAGATTGTGGTGCTTACAACGGCATTTGTAACGACTTGTTTACGACGAGCATAATTGTTCGATTAGGCGTTATGCGATTGTTGGATGAAAGCGGAGCCGGTTGTGAGCATTGTAACCACGTTATTGCAATAACGTTGTAAGCATGGCAGCTGGATTTATGTGAATTCATACCAGAAATATAATTTGTTTTTTTTTTTGTGTGTCAAGATTTCGTTATACCTCACTCCGTGAGAAGTTAATTAAGTGGTTTGGTGAGGAAAAAAAAAATTTGAGAATTGTAAAAGGATGGTATACACTTTTATTAACTGTATAAATATAGGCATTTTGTGAGGTTACAAAAAGGGGCCGTCTTGCTTTTCTTTAGTCGATTCGATTGTTGCAGTAAGAGTTTGATGAAAACAGACACAGAAGGCAATTCTGCAATCATCAACCAAGCAGAAAGGCTTGAAGGTTGGAGCATCGCCAAGCAGATAAGGTTCATCGGGCCGAAGGTGGAGCATCGCCGAGCAGAAAGGCGGAGGAAAAGGCGAGGGAGTCGCTGGGTTTGAAGACAGGAACGGCATGGCCAGCTCCTCTGAACGTGGCAAAAGTGAGGCCTTCATATTCCTGAAACCACCCACTCACTTGCCGCTGGTGATACCATGGCCTCCATGACTTGGTTATCTTCAGCCCCAGCGAGCTTATGCTGTACCGAGTCGATAGCACCGGTACCCTCCCGTCTGTGTCCCCGCTGCTCGAACAACAAAGACGAACGACGTGAGTCGAATCCATCGACGCATATAGGGAACCAACCACAGCCATTGGAAAGGGGGAAGTTTGTTTTGGCTATATACCTGTAGACCCAGATCCTGACTCCTGCTCCAATCAGCTTTGTGTAGGTAGGAAGGACTGATGGCTTGGAGTACTTCCACTCATTGAATATCTTCTCACTGCACACCAATCATGTCACCGCCCATGCAAAATCAAGCATACAATAATTGGCAACACAGAAAGCAGAAAAGATAGTTATGACAATTGACATGACATGACATGACTTCAAGTTCAAGTTAACCAAACCCTGCAACTGTATGTGACTGCCTCAGTCGTAACTATACAGTCAACCACAAGTTAACCAAACCCTGCACCTGGTACTTTCTTATAGCAGGAAGAATCTCTCACAAAGTCAACCACAAATTTTTTGCGATATATATACGACTTGATCAAATTACTTACTTGCAGATGCTCCAGTTGCGGAGACGGTGGCCATCGCTCACATGGAGGGCCTTCTGGACATCAGGCCTGTTGTAGAAAGCCTTGGCATAATCATCCAGACATGGATCATACCCGCCCATTACCCGCGGCATCTGGCGATCAAATTATTCATAAGAGAAACCCCTTTAATTATTATATGCATGCCCTTTTCTCATCGCTAAAAAAATGAGGGTCAATCATTCACGGACGCCCTATCAAATGCCCTTTCTTTCATATCAAGTATTCAACTCACCATATTTGAAGTACGTGTGAACATAACTTGGGTGGATTTCTGATCCGAGCTTGCCGAGTTCCCTGCACAGACCGACGTATAGAGACTGTAGATATCGATCTCCCTGTACTGTCTCAGCAGTTCGTCGACAGAATCACTGCAGTCGTTGTTGCTCCAAGTGTTGTCGCTGCTGAAGTTGCAGCTCAGGCTGATTACCCTGTGGGTTTCGTCTGAGATCACGGCGTGGCTCCAGGCGTAATCTACCATGCCTCTCCAGTCTTCGGCATCTGTCTGTTTCGGGATTACCCATCTGAGAAGAGGAAACAGTGACGTTAGATAGAGACTGGAATTGATTGTAGATTCTCAAGCAGATCTCTATTACTTCTTCTATGTTTATGTGTGGCATACCAGAATACCCATAAGGTTTATATGAAGTGAAGCATCCTTGTTCCTGTCGAGTATAAACTCAGCAAGCTCCGGGATGTACTTTCCTGTATTTATGTCACGTAATAATGAATTTGTAAAGAAATTTTGAAGTACAAAGATGAAAACTTTTCTAAGTAAGAAAAGAGCTGACATGTTCTGTAATTTTAAGGGAAAATGATCTGCTAGCCATAGATATTATAAAAATAAAAAATTTATTTTAGAGAGATTGTTCTTACCCGCATAGCTTTCCCCTGCTATGTAGAAAATCCGCGTTCTGTACGATGGAAACTTGAGAAACCATTTGTGCAGGAAGGCATAGGCGTCATTTGCTACCAATAAGGGTAAAAAAAACCAGTTAGACCAAAAGATTATATCATAACCTAAACTGGCGCTTGAACAAACGGACATGAATAACGATCGAATTCATAAATCATGTGATTTACCTGTAAATTCATCTCCCAGAATATTATAATCCGCACTTGTATTTGAGTATGAAAATCCAACTCCAACTGGGGATTCCAGGAATAGCATGTTGGCTTCTGCGACACATACAGAATGGCGAGATTTACAGATAGAGATAATACGATAATGGAGAATTTTGGAAATCCAACCATAATTGCACCTTGCCCAATTGTTAAGCATAGATAATATTAGGCTACAGGCTTTAAGTGCGTTGGCCCTACATACCTCTATTCCATGAGTCGGGATTATACTTAATTCCATTTCCATTAGCGTCCACTATGAAAGGGCCAATCTCTTGAGTTGCTCCATATCCCACAGAAGAGCATCCTGGACCTGAAACAACAAGCATCTTGTCACCTTATTAGAGGGCACAGAATATATAAACAATAACAATCGTACTTGTTGTGAAAAAGAACCTATTTGGACAATAATTGAGATTAAGGTGATGACACCCGTTACGACCCAGAGGAATAATAATCTTTAATCTGCCACAAAAGAACTTTTTCATAGTACTTTCTTATTCAGAGCGCATGTATACAAAGGGAGAGCATAGCAAAATGGACAACGCAAAGCACTCAGAAAACACTTTGTTATATAATACACAAATGCATGAGATATCATTTTGGCCAAAAGCCTGGCATTTGGAAGTTGGAACTGATCAGGACAGCCATGGAAAATAATTCCAACGTTCGCAAGGTGACCTGGCTGAGGGCCACTCAAGCCTTTCTACCTGACATTACACTCATCAAATATCTAAGTTGAAAGTGGTGCAGGGTGATGCAATGGGAAGAGAAGCAACCACTCCAATGATCTCCACATTGGCGAGCAACACTCGTTTCCACAGTGACCTTACCATTCGCTTGTGTATTTGCGAGGATTCAAGAACAGGAAATATGGCAAAGGAAGTAAGTTTGATTACCTCCATTCAGCCAGAGAACTAAAGGTTTTTCATCAGGGCGATTGGTTGCCTCATAGAACCAGTAAAACAGAGCCCTTCCACTTGTTTCATTCACAGTAAGAAATCCAGCATAGTTGCCGGAAGTCCACTTCTGGCTGGCCAGGTAAATTAGTCACAAGATGATCATTGATCAATGTGTTCAATCTCTTCTCAATAACATACTGCCCTTGCCTGGCACTGAAAAGTGGTACCAGATATACAAGTGCAATGAGAACTGTAGGCATGAAAGGTGTCAATTTAGGTACAAAATCCATATTGGAAATGTGAGCTTCTTGGAAATAAAGCTTAGAGAAGAGAAGGATGATTGATCAAAGAAAGAAGCATGCCCTATTTATACTACTTAAGAAGTAAAAGAAGCTCGGTGTGGGTCAGTGGTCCTATATGGCATGCTGAATTTTTATCAGTTTAGCAAACCTTGAAGCATGTGACATGGCACATTAAAAATGTTCCAGAGCTTCGTGCATGCTCAGGATATGTGGATATCCCACTCATAAGTGGGTTGCTAGTAAAAGTATGATATACAACATCCTACAGTATATCCACTCCAACTTCAGAAAAAACCATTTCCTATCTATCAGAAATTCAATTTTAAAAATCAGTAGCTAGGTTCTAGCTCAATAAGAATAAAGTAGGGAAGAATTTTGTGAAAGATTATGCAGTTTTAAGGATGCATTAGCAGAAAAAATTACGATGTCTATGCATGATTTGTATTCTTAAGAAGACTAGTCAGACTGTTTCTCTTTTCGTTTTATAAGGAAAAAAGAAGAATTGCTGACTAAAGAGAAAGAATTCATACATGTTGATAGGATAACCATCACAGTAGTGGCTAACAATCTGCATATATTCAAATTGATTTGAATTTCCTTTGACTACTTTTGTGTATAATTTTCACATACCATATGGCTCATTGCCTTACCTCTTGTCTCCCGTCCACTATGACAAATCTTCTCACTGGTAGACTTTATCTACATGTTATCTTAAAAATGTCCCTGGATACGATTCACCTAAAGGTACAAAGAACACCACAGCTCAAATACATCATCTAATTCACACGAGCCTCCATCCCCTATCCATCAAGCTGATCAACTAGCCCAAGGCATAGAAAATGAGTGCATAATCCATGTCACAGAAAGAACAAACTGTCATAGAATATGAGCTCATAATGCATTTTACAAAAAGACAAACTGTCATAAGAGATAGACATGAATATTAGCAACATAAACCACATAACATGGTGAACAGAACATTCTGTTTAGTGTTAACTCTTTTATCATCACTCTAGAAAAATGTAGCTAATCAAGATGACAGGGAACTGGAAGCAAGATAATGACAAAAACAAAGAACTTAAGCCCATACATATCAAACTTCTTAGAACTTAAGTCTAAGAATCGCCAACCAATGAAGCCTTTACAGGTGCCCATCTGATGGTTCCCCTGGGTTCAATGATACTACCATCATGTATATTAATAACTTTTATTCAGGAGTCATATACTCATGCGTTATAGCCAAGTAAATCTCTAGTTTGCATGTATAGACATTAGATAACTATCCATCATGTTTGACACATTTGCCACCAGACCTCTCTCAGAAAGTGCAGCCACTTTTATGTTGGCCAATGGATTTCCAACTGCATTAGCAAATTGATTAGGTTTTTCTCCCTTTGGTTGGTTTCAGACTCACTATTCCAGATCTGGTTACTCTAAAGAAAAATACAAATCTGTCCTAATCCCAGAAGAAATGGTGAATATTTTTAACTAAAGATGTATGCACTTATCACCATATAGGATTAAACACGTATACACGATGGTGCTCCCACCATTAATCCATTGTGACCAGTCTTGCATCAGACCTTTAAACATACCGTTCAATTCCCAAGAAAAGACAATCTAATGATTCCAGTCTCATAATTCTACATCTTTTCTTTTTAATTTCGCTTATGATTCTTCGGTTGGGTAGATAAAAAGATCATTTAAGTCAATATGCTATAATAATTTTGATATAGAGCACAATTGGACAACGAATCAGTTTAGGGTCACCTTCATCAATAGTAATGACCCCATCCTTATCTCCAACATTCACAAATAGTTAGTTGTCATGCAGAACGAAACATCAAATATCACCTGCAATCTTGCCATTCTTCAGGAGAGAGCAAATCTTGCACATCAAGCCATCAACGCCAAGAGGTAAAGAGAAATAATTAAGAAAAACCTGAAGCAGTTTTGTTTCAAAATGACTGATCAATCTTAAAACTGGGAAACGAAGAGATTGTGACACACCAACTAGACAGAAATTTGTTTTCTATATGCCTCTTCTATTGAACAGGCAAATGAAGATTCGAGACGAACATATAAAGGCTTAAGTTCCAAATTATTCACTTGGTGGAGAGTTCATTATATGCCTCGTCACCATGAACACATAATTAAGAACAGGGAGGAGGGAATATAATAAGCAAAGCATGAATCAAGTGGATCACTTCAATTTCAAAGTTCAGTCATTCTCTTCTATACCTGCTCGCAATTTTAATGCCACCTACAAGGCTACAACTGCTATTACTCTGGGGTTTGTGAATAAAAGGAAACAAACGCCGCTACGAAGAAGAAAGTGGCTTCAATTGTTCACCCCATAAATTGTCCCTCTTACTTTCCATCTGTCCACCCATCTTTCTTTACTATTTCCTAGCATTTCTTCGTATAGACTCTAAATTCCTGTTTACTGTTGCCTCAATTGAAGATAAAAACCAGTGGCACCAGCTTAATATGCCATTCACTTCCGGCTTTCTTTCCACAAACACCAGCGGACCTCTGTTAACAAGGCAGTATAAATAGAATAAAAAAACATCACTTTTTTAGTTTCTCTTATTCGTATTTAGCCACCACAACAAGATAAGGACACCTTTTGCAAGAGGTGGAGACGTAAAAGATCATAGGTTGGGAGTTTTCTTTTGGGTAGTTAAGCTTTTACCGATCTCATGCTCATAGTTTTCTGGTCCGAGTTTTCAACTGTGAACATCTCAATAACAGTCTAAACATGCCATACGGCTGGACTTCTAGTGAACTTTCAGTCTAGTTATCTTCGCTATTTTACATTGGCGCCATTGATACAGCCATACGGCTGGAATTCTAGTGATCTTTCAGTCTAGTTATCTTCACTATTTTACATTGTCGCCATTGATACAGCCATACGGCTGAACTTCTAGTGATCTTTCAGTTTAGTTATCTTCACTATTTTACATTGTCTCCATTGATACAGCCATACAGATATAGCCTAGTTCTCTGTCCTCTTAGGTACCACCTAAATATGTTCTCCCTTAGATATCAAGAAGAAAAGACAAGAGTTTACCAACAAATAGAAAAGACACAGAATGTCAACGCTCCACTGTACCAAAAACTTATCTCTGTCTACATGCTAATGAGGAACTAATAACCATGGGCAACTTCCAATCTTAATAGTTAAACATCAAGGGCAAAGGCTCAGTTCAATTCAATCATTTAGTCTCAGTAGGGAGGCATCAGGCATTGGAAATGAGATTTGGGAGGAAACGCTATGCCTGTAGTTGTCTATGGTCTAACACAACCTAATTTCATGGTTGAACATCAGGGGAGTGGCTTCGTCAATACTTATTGGTATCATAATGATGATTGCAATACCAGACCAAACACAAAAAGTGCAAGTGCACGCTTTTTATTGGAGTTAGGCTAAAAAGGGAAGATGATTATTCATAACACGCCAAACAAGCAGTCAAAGCCTTGACCATTGGATGATTTGAGGAAGCACATTAGATGGCCTGGTCTTTCCTACAACCGCAAATTTGTGGGTGCAAAAGTAGACCAGCTCCAGAAAAGACCAGTGGGATCAAATCGGCGACGAGTAGTTTGCTTTATCCTTCTTGGTACAAAACTCCACAGTGCACATGGGGCTTTAATGGAGTTTTAGGCCCGAAAAGAAGAGCATCTTGCATAGTGTAGAGAGGGTCAACTAACCATCCAATCGGTTCTATGTTCACCCACGAAACTAGACTTTGCACACCCAAAACAAAAAAAGAAATGAAAGGATAAAAATGCCATAGATGCACCAAACTGGCAACTTCGATATTTGATGCTAAATGAAGGGTATGTATGAATGTGAACTGACCTCAAATTTCGAGTACAGCTGCATTTTCCAACTTCTGTCCAAGTCACGAGTCCCACACTTGATTCCATTGCTCTAGCATACTCCTGAAACTATAACATAAGTTAATCTCAAAGGCAACATTGCGCTGAAGGAAGTATTCTATGCGTTTAGAATAGGATTTGCTCATTTAGTGACTCATTGCTGAAAGCGATGTTGTCCAAACCAGCAACATAATCAAGTAGGGAGACCCGAGAATTCTTTTGTTGCAAAAGAACAAGTACAAGTTGGAATTTAATTTTGTTGGTGCGTAAAAGCAATAGTAGTTTAGAAATAGAAAGCACTGACCTTCAGCGTTGATGAAAGTCGGAAACTTCAATGACAGTTGGTTGTTGCCGACAAATCAGAAAAGTAACAAAATTGACCATCCAGCCACCAAACCACCACACAATCCCAAGGCATATCACAAAAACGCCAGACTGTCTCACGATTCATCCCAATCGGCCAATCATCTCCAAGAATGCAGGAGCACGAAATCCCCCCAACCAGCTGCGATGAGATCCACTACTGGGGCGATCTCCCAGAGCAAGAGTACTACAAACAGCAAGGAATTCGAGCAGGACATTCGTTCTACACCTCACCCAGAGGCCTGAAGCTCTTCACCCGGTCATGGCTGCCGAACACCTCCAAGCCACCGCGCGCCCTGCTCTGTATGGTCCACGGATACGGCAACGACTGCAGCTGGACCTTCCAATCCACAGCCATCTTCCTCGCCCAGAACGGCTTCGCCTGCTTCAGTCTCGACATGGAAGGCCACGGCAGATCCCAGGGACTCAAAGCCTACGTCCCCAACATCGACCTCGTCGTCCATGACTGCCTCTCCTACTTCAACTCCATCAAACGAGACCCGCTATTCACCGGCATCCCTTCATTCCTCTACGGCGAATCCATGGGCGGCGCGATGTGCCTCCTCATCCACTTCCAAAGCCCCACAGCATTCGACGGCGCGGTGCTCGTCGCACCGATGTGCCGAATCGCCGACGAGATGAGACCTCGCTGGCCGATCCCCCAGATCCTCACGGTCGTCGCCAAATTCCTCCCGACGCTGGCCATCGTCCCCTCGGGAGACGTCGTCCGTGCATCCGTCAAAGTGAAAGACAAGCTGAAGGTCGCGGAGATCAATCCGATGAGGTACAGAGGCAAGCCGCGGCTCGGGACGGTGCTGGAGCTGATTAGGGTTACGGACTGTCTGGGGAACAGATTGCGAGACGTTAGGGTTCCGTTCCTCGTCCTCCACGGAAGCGCGGACGTGGTGACGGATCCGAAAGTGAGCAGGGCGCTGTACGAAGAGGCCGCGAGCGAGGACAGGACGATCAAGATCTACGACGGGATGCTGCACTCGCTGCTGTTCGGAGAGACGGACGACAACATTGCCATGGTCCGGCGGGACATTCTGGATTGGCTCTGCGATAGGTGCAGATGAACGATCGAGGCGGGAAATTTGCTGGAAATTACTCCATTTTCGCGGTTTAATTGTGCTTTTTTTCAGGGGAATTTCGAATCAGATTATGGATTGTTGAATTGCAGATGAAGATCGTTGAATGTTCTTGGCAAAAGGAAGGGAGATTGAAGATTGTTGAGTTTTGATCCATAGATTTGTTTCCGCTTCCATTATTTTCGTGCTCATTCTTCTTCTGGCAAAAAAAGACAAAGGTCCCACCGAGATTTGAACTCGGGTTACTGGATTCAGAGTCCAATGTCCTGACCACTAGACCATGGGACCTTGTTGTTCAGCTGCTTCTGATGTGGCTACAAGATTAGAAGCATTGGTTTTCGTCTTTCGTCCACACCTAGCTATCGCTTGACATCTGTAATCAGGCGTCATTGACAAAGCAATATCGACGTATTCTCGAGAATCCATGGTGAGTGTTACTATGCAGTCAACTTATCTTGCTCTGTCTCCAATGGCAAACCTGGGCTAACTGTACAACCAAACCCCCTATAGTATTCTCTGCTTTCGACATTGCCACATTTGGTTGTTGCAATGCAAGCTCGTGTGTCTCGGACATTACCGTCTTCATGTTCTCCTATATGCACCCATTAGAGTACTTTGGATCATCGTTAGATGGATTCTCTCTTTGGTCAATCACCACACCAATAATCTAGTCGAGGATAGCAAAAACGGTTCACGCTATTAACCAGTTAGCGTCACAGGGGACTTCTACACTGATAGGCAATCGTGAGTTTCGACCATTAACGAACAAGGTTCATGTGACCTTACCATACAATCGAACAAATGAGAGGCTAACGATTTAGCGTACACTGAGAAAACCATGAGACTACAGATATAAACCACGTTAAAACCCTGCAAGTGTACAACAATCCACCACTCTTGGACCCTATTCAGAACAAGCCTTCAAATTTTTCGATCCCATATGACTTGCAGTTGCAACAATACAAAATTTCAAACGAACAATATCAGTTGAACAAACTTAAACGGAGCAGAGAAAGAAAACAGGCTATCAGGAACAAATAAAGCCATCTCTTTTCATATACATGCCAGGAAACTGTTTGGTGGGTAAAGAAAATATATAACATACCTAAGAAATATGTAGAACTTCCTATCAACTTTTTTTAAACTATATTGGTTACCTATACCTGATTATCTATCTCTACAGCTATGTCCTGGCTATACAATGACTGGACAAAACTTGGTGATCAGAGGAAGAACCTGCTGCTATGCCCTTTTAGTCATCATCTCAACTTGAACCTGGAAAAAGAATCCTGAGTACGACGAATAGATTCTATGTCAAGAACTTGTATCTACTGAAAAAATAGAGTGAACAAGAGAAGAAATGGAACTTCCATTTTCTCTCACTCAATCAACCCATGAATAGGTATCTCAAATCCTCCTCAGTTAGGCGTGTCTGACGGCCACCATTCCTATCCTCTCCAAATGCAGATGCAACCATCGTTCTCTTCTTTTGCTGCAAGCAAATAAACGCAAAGCCACAGTGTGGTTAGACTGATTGGCAAAAACTGAAGAACCCAGCATGAAACGAATGAAACAACAGCAGATTTGGTTGGCCGGAACCAAAGGACAAGTAAAAGTTCAGTTTTTTATACCAAAAAACATGGAATATTGTTTTGATTTCCGTTTAACCGATGAACAAAAACCGTTTCCCCCCGTTAGGCCCATGATAGACGGTTATGGTTACCTGTAAAGCTAAGATACGATCTTCAACAGTGTCTTTCACAGTCAACCTCAAAACTTTAACGGGGCGTGTCTGACCAATGCGATGTGCTCTGTCAATAGCCTGATCTTCTGTTGTAGGGTTCCACCACAGGTCTAGAAGCATAACGTGACAAGCAGCAACCATGTTTAATCCGAGACTAGCTGCTTTGAGAGACATGATAATAACAGAAACCTGCGAAACAATGACAAAGAACGTTTAGAGGCGAAAGACAAGAACAAAACAATGAAGGCAAACAGTAAAAATAGAGTTGTGGGTCCAAAAACCTCTGGTAGAGTGTTGAAGTCTTTCACAGCTTTATCTCTAGCAACTACTGACATTGTCCCATCGAGTCGTCGGTACTGAATAGAGGAACTCTTAAGACAAGCTTCTAGCAAATCTAGCATCCTTGTCCATTGGGAAAATACTATGGCTTTCTCTCCAGTCCCGCTTCCTTTAAGATTATTGGCTGAATCCTGTTCAGACAGTTTTTCCGAAGCAGACTGCTGAGGCCTGGAAATTGACTGCAGGACAGCAAGAGCAGCCCTGATTTTGGAAGAATCATATGGGCCGCCAGCTTCAGCACGAGAACTGACTTCGTCAACAGCATCAGTTGGAGGAAGAAAAACAGCATCGGGGGAAGGAAGAAAAACAGCTTCACTGCTCTGGTCAGCAAGAGACCGGTGCAAAATGGCTTGGGAGAACACTGAAGACACATTTAGTGGAACTTTACAATGAGGAGTAGGGCAATGGTTGTCGTCTCCGTTAAGATGTTCACAGATGCACTGATTGCAGAAAACGTGGCCACAAATGGAGACAACAGCATCTTCAGGCGGATCCTTCACAAAACAATTAGGAAAGAGTGTCAGGGTGAAGAGAAAAACAAAGCCAGAAAAGTGAAATCTCACAAGAGAGGCAAGTTGGGAAAAGAATCCACAAGCAGAATGACATTTTGGTGTGCCTGGTCTGATCTGGTCCAGAATCAGACTTGACTAGAAAAGGAGAAATGATGACCATCCGGTCCACTTTTTGCTTTGTTTCCCAGATGACCCATGGAATCAAAACCGAAACAACTCTTTCAATTTTAGAATGAAAAATGAACCAACTTGTATTTAGTCGGCTCCAATTCAATCCCAAAGTTGAATTCAGTCAGATCAAAACAAAATCACTGCACACTGCACATCTCTACTTCAGCTGGAACCAAATCAAAGCTAGCAAGAGACCAATTCAAAAGGACCAAAAAAAAGCAACAAACCAAACAAGTGAAACAACTACACTAATACTGACCAACCAAGGATCAAGTCTCTCAGTCACATAATTCCAGAGGTTCACCCTTCAATTGGACCACTAAAAAATATTGCCTAACAGGAATTCGTGCAGACAAGAGACAACTTGCCGCTACTTTGAGCTAAAACCGATATCCCAAGATTAATGAAATTGAAAGGATTTCATGCAGCGCATAAAAAAGGATCTGCAAATGAAAATCAGTTAACGGGCACACAGCTGTAGTAGTCTCACTAACAGGAAGCGAATAAGATAGAAGACCGTAAAGAGAGCACATACATTACAGAGGCCACAGATTGCTAAAGATGCCTCTAAAAAATGCAGAAGGCTCATTCGTTTCTCATGATGAAGCTTCTTTGCCATCTCAATTGTGGATCTTTCCAATGCAGCTGATTCATAGCCTCTAACGAGAAGAGGGTGATCACATGCTTGACGAAGACGTAGGAGCATCAACAAAATGTTAACATAGTTTTGCCTAACAGTTCCTGCTGCAGCATACTCCTGAAGAACAGAAATGCGAGGGCTCAGAGAATCAGGTACCAGGAGCACAAAAGTCACAATCATTACCTAAATCACTGAAAGAAAGCAACTCCTTTCTAGTCTAGTTAACTTCACCTTGAACTGATCACGTGAATCATTCTCTAGTCTTGAATAGAAACAGCGCTCTTCATCTGTAAACTCAACTCTTTTAAGTTCTATGAACTTCGGGGGTAGGGTAATGATTGGCTCCCCATCAAGCAGTGTAGCTACAACATACATTCATGATTTACCACATATCAGAACGATGTTATGAGAATATGCATGCTATCATCATCCCAGTTATCATCAGGCAACAGATAAATGCTTTCTGGTCAAAATTACAGGCATTCTTTAATGTGATTGAACATGAATGGAATTCTATCAAACGGCACCAAAGAAATAATATGCATAGCCATCAACAAATCAAGCTACCTTTGGTACGACGAAGCATTATTGTCTTTAAGATAGCTTGTAACTTTCTGTAACCTTTAGCTGGACTTCTTTGAATTGGGAGTTTTATTCGATTGCAGAATTCGGTAAACACGGTGAAGGGGTCATATCTTAGAAACCTGAAGTAGCTATAAAGATCATCAATTGCATTCTGCAGAGGAGTTCCAGACAAGCACCACCTGCGTTTTGCACGAAGACCCCAGCATGCCCTGGCTACTTGAGTTCTGTGATTCTTGATGCTTTGAGCTTCATCCAGAACAACCCTAAACCATGCCACCTTTGCCAATGGCCGAGCAAGAGTTTCAAATAATGCACTATCAGATTCCTTCTTCTTACTACCTTTCTTGCCAGAAGTTAGCGGATACTTTCTTTTCTTACCGGATGAACCAAGAGGAGGATCATCACCTTCTGCTCTTGCTTTCTCTTCATCATCTCCATCGGCAAAAGGTTGCTTTGGGACTTCCATGCTCACTATAGAGTATGTTGTCAAGACTACATCGAACTTTGAAAGTTCATGAGGATCTTTTGTTCGGTTGCTTCCATGATATACCAGAACAGAGAGATTAGCTTTAGTAGTTACTTTCTTATGCAACTCCTCAGCCCATTGTCGTAGAACACTAGTGGGACAAACAATGAGAGTCCCCGCAGCTGGCCTACCTTTCGATTGGCCTAGAAGATTAATACTCTTTGATGCATTTTGATAGGACATCACTCCACAATCACTGCTTTCCTTTTTTATTCCTGCTCCAGAATCACTGCCTTCCTTTTTTGTACCTGCTCCACAATCACTGTCTTCCTTTTTTATACCTTCACAATCACTGCTTCCCTTTTCTATTCCTTTAACTTCAATAATTCCATCTTCGTCATCATCCAAATTTAAGGTCTCAAACTTCTCTTTTTTAACAACAGCTACATCGGCTCCATGACATGGAGCCCTTTCTTTAAGTATGAGAGCAATGGTTGATATCGTCTTTCCCAAACCCTGGATGACAATACATTCCCATGAAAAAGAATGACAAGAAAAAATAACTTTCTTCAAAAAATAGATCCAGGACAATACAGCAACATAAAAATAGCATTAACCTGATCGTCAGCTAGAATTCCTCCAGAACAATGAATCCCAGATGTTTCCTTATGAACCATCCACGACAAAGCAATTCGCTGCATAGATTATCCAACGAGTTAGATAAAAGAAGAAAAAGTTTGTCCACACAGATATCCCAGCAAATGCTACATGGCCTAATATTACCAAGAGAAATGTAAACGAGTCGCCTTGACAGGGCAAACCAACCAACTGTAGTTGCTTTAACTCGCTCAAGATTCATAGAGCAAATAGTGCACATATATTCAATAAAGAAGGCGTGTGTATTTTGTGCAGAAGACACATCTTTTGTCGTTTCCCAAATATGACATACAAAGGTGCCTTAGATAAACATTTGGAAAAAGTCACTAATGTTCTTCACTCAACCATTGCTGATCCATTAATCCACTATATAAACCCCAGGAATTCTGCATGAGCTTAAGAAGGGATGCTAGCCAACCTGATGTCTCATAAGAGGTACTGCCATAAAGCCATCAGGTGGAATTACTTCAGACTTCGGTTGATTAAGATCCTGCAATGCACCCAAAATTTTCAGCCCTTCAGGTGCTTGATGAAACCGACATATCGCACACCAAAAGACATATAATTGGTCATAATATAGCAAGAAAGGCAGATGCAAGTCAAAGTCAAGTTAGCATCCAAGTCCCATTCAAACTATTCCAGGTATTCAAAAGAACGTTAGATCAAAGAAAGGTGCCGACATAACAATTCAAAACTCAGTCACTATATCATAGCTCATCATAGTGAAAGACTCTAAGCAAATTAAAGATAGAAATGACAGTGATAGAAAATAGAACTTTGTGTAACATGGATTCACCAATTCTAACCTGCAAGGCAACTCGAAATAAGACTCGCTCGTCACAAACCCTAGGTCGCACTCCAGCTCCATTGTAATGATAGGAATCACTGTGACTAACGGGTTGGAATGAATCAATGGGCTTTTTGTACGGTTGAGAATGGCTTGAACGAGGAGGTTGACTGATGTCTTCAAGAATACAGAGGTCAGAGTCATCATCCACAATCGATTGACTACCGGATGAGTTGCTGTGGGTTGATTCAGGACTGACTCTTGAGAAAGCGTTAGGAAAGCTCCTTTGAGAAATCGCTTCATCCTTCAAACCATGTTGTAGGTAAATGGGTGTACCATATCGCCGTACCCTAGCAAAATGCTGGTCCCGGGATTTTATACTCATGTCTCTATTCTTACTTTGAGAAATCGCTTCATCCTTCAAACAATGTTGTTGGTAAATGGGTGTACCATATCGCCGTACCCTAGCAAAATGCTGGTCCCGGGATTTTATATTCATGTCTCTATTCTTACTGGGATATGAAACAACATGGACTTCAGAGCTCCTTGGTTCAACTTTTAGATAGCTTCTGTCGTTCTCTGCCTTAATCGTGCCATAACGCCTTAACATCGCAGGTGCAGCACTAGATGTTGAATGCTTTGGGTGTACAAAAACCGGAGGCTTCCCCCTGTGGCCCAATGCATTAGAACTACAAGGTCGTATCGATGTTTCATTCTGACCTCCATCATAAACATAAGACCCAAATTTGAGGTCGGTATGTGATTCTTGGTTAAAACCATGGCCTTCAGGATCTAGACACATCAAACCAGACGACCCAAAGCTCTCAGTTGGAGGCATACTCATCTCACTCATCCCACCAATCATCATTAATTCATTGTCAAGCACACCAGACAACTCGAAGCCCTCAGTTGGAGGTATAATAATCTCACTCATTGTATCAATCATCAGCGCTTCACTACCAGGCACCTTGTCAGAATTGAATTCACCAGATAGACCATGCTGTGGAAAATAACCACTGCTAGGATAAAACTCATCAAAATCACTACTAAGATCGGAATTAAGAGAGAACGAAGATGTAGAAGGAATCGCGCCTTGCAAATGTACAGTTGTATCTCCCAGGGCCATATTCGTAAATTGTTCAGTTCCATTCTCAGAACCTGAAACTTCCCAACTGTTTTCCATCACAGACCCATCGTTTACAAAACCATTATTCGAGCTGTCAATCCAATAGTCAAAGTTTTCTGCATTCATTCCAAATCACCAGCTGTTACAACAGAATTCTACTGCCCGGTGCATATGAACTCGAAACAAAAACAAACAAACAAACAAACAAAAATCCCCTGCACAGTTATTGTAGATACTGGAAAAAGGAATGAAGGTATAACAGCTTTAGCATACCGCTGGAATTAGTGTCCCCTTCGACATGCCTGGACTGAGATTCAGTTTCGTAAGTCGTGGACGAAATGTCAGCTGAAGTTTGAAGGTGGAAGTTCATTTGGTTTCCAGAATCAGGAACTGACCCAACTTGCTCCCCATTAATAAGAAAATTCTGCGCACCCTCCTACAGTTTGACAAACAGAAGGAAGTTGCACAACAACAACGACAAAATAATAATCGAATCAACAGCAAGCTGATACTCACTTAGTGTCGCGTAGGAAAGCCATTTTACTAACTAAATTTCAACCCGGAAAAGGGTTACTGAAGAGTAAATGACCAGTTGTTAACTAGTTCCATTCACAACCAGTTGAAAGCTGAGCTAGAAAATGACAATCCAGTGGGGTCAAATTCAGTTCCGATTCTCACTTTCACTTACAAATCAAAACCCTTCAAACAGCAATGGTAAGTAAACTAAATAAAACCCAGCACGAAACTCAGTTAGTACAAGCTAGCACCCTCTACCCAAGACCCATGAAGCACTCAGGCAAAAAAAAAGGGCTCTCACCTGCTGATACTGGGGTGCAGGAGGATCAGACTCTTCGAGAATGTCAAAAATCATATCAAGATCGAGGGAAACATCCTCCTCGCTCAAATCAAACACAGCAACTGCATCTCCTGCCTGCTCCCTCCCCGAGTTCCCGTCCGCCATCATATCTTCTCCCCCCCCTCAACCGGAGTGAGTACCCACACAAAAGAAGAAGAACCCTCTTCTCTGCCAAAACCCCACAATTGGCAATTTCTATCTTGTTGATCAACCTCCGCGATACCCTAAACCGAAAGCCGCAGCGAATTTGGAAATAGGGGAGGAGGTAGAACGCTCGGATCGGGACGATTCAAATGGCATTCTCGAACGGGAAGACGAAAGAGGTTAAGGGTTAAGGGTTAGCGGGCGGCTTCTTCTACTCTCTTCCGAGAGAGGGTCCGCGGAAAGTTCGATTCTTTTCTTGCTTGGACGGCGGAAAAGCAGGTGGGATGGTGAAATATATCTGTGGGTCGTCGTAGGCGTGGAGGTGGTTCGGGGAAACTGAACACGAAATCGGCGCCGAAGGGGAAATCTGGAACCGAGTTGTGGACTTTTGTGGCGCTGGTTTAAATAGGATTTGGGTCGCTCCAGGGGTTTTTCCAATTTCTTTCCTTTTTCTTAATTAGGAGTTAAGGACAGAGGGTTATGGTAACGGATTAATTTAACTCAGGAGCCTAAATTGACTTGTTCGTTAATGAAAAAAATTCGGATGGATCAGTTTGGCTTCCAAGATTTCAAATTAATTTGTGTCTTGGGTGATTCTAAATTCATGGGTTAAAATAATAAAAATGAAACAATTGGTTAAATTGATTCGTTTCTTAATTATCCATTCTGAGTGGTCCCGAGAAATCGATAGCCGGTTGTTAGCCACAAAGTCACGACACGACAGGAGCATCCAATTTTCAAGAGATCGATGGACTTGCCTCGATTGATTTCGTAACCGGATCAAAAGTAATGTATGTACAATTAAACCTTGCTCCGATTGTCGAAATCGAATAGCTCCATCACTACAATATTGTCCGCATTTAATCTTGATCCGTCTGCCAAACACCTTTGTATCGATGAGCTTTTCGGTACAAGACTGTTCCCATACACATAACTCTCTCTGATATGCCAATTCAAACGCAGATCTCCCACACAAAAAAAGGATTACATGGTAATTATGGCGTTACTAGTGACTTATGGTAGTTTCCAAAGGGATTGTTGGTGCTTAACTTGTAAGATAATGTTGACTTATTCATTATGTCCAACTTTTGTTTTCCAAGAAAGAAAGAAAAGGCACGAGCTGCGTAATTTTAATTACCCAAAACTTGTACACCAATCCAACTAGTCAATACTGTCAAAAAAAAAAATCCAACTAGTCAAAGCTATACTCAAATGCAATCGAATCGAATGTTTGCAGAACTATCAGTTTCGACCCTTCTATTCTCTTTACTTTTTAATTTGGTCTTCCACTCAAGTCGATGTTATTGTGCTTACTTGGTGCATACTCATAAGTAGGGCTGTTAATCGGTGGCCGGTTTTCCAGTTAACCTCGTAACCGAACCGAGACCGTCGGTTTTTCGGTAGACCGAAAACCGCAACGTCGGTGTCGGTTGGCGGTGTCGGTTGGCAGTCACCAGCAAATTAGAGAGGGTTGCGGTTATCGGTGAAAACCGAAACCGTGGCGGTTAAACCGAGACAACCGCGTGCCCTACCATCCCAGACTCTTCGGAGTCCCTATTGCAGTCGTCGACCCATCGTCACTCGCCACCGCCCTTCTCGGCTTCCCCACTGCCGCCTTCATCCTCCTTCTCGCAGTCCCAGACTCCTAATAATCGTCAACATTGCCATTCCCCCATCGCTAGTCATCTCGCCATCGTCGCCCCGCAGTCCCGCCATCACCCGGCACTCCGACGTCGCCCGACAGTTTCGTCGTCGCCCAAAAATGCCGACGTCGCCCAGTAGTTCCAACCTTGCCCAGCAAAGCCGATGTCATCCTGCCATCCCGACACCGCCCAGCAAGGCCGACGTCGCCAGCAGATCCAGAAATCCGATCAGATACGCCCTCTGCGTCGGTCTTCTGCTAACCGCGGCACCGACCCGAAACCGTGGCGGCGGTTTTCGGCTAACCGACAAGGCCGTCGGTGTCGGTTGCGGTTGGCCTTTTTGGACGTTACTCGGCTGCGGTTAACCGCGGTTGCGGTTCGGTTAAAACCGAAACCGCACCGCTAACACCCCTACTCATAAGAGCAAAACGAGACAAGGAAAGTGACATTTTTTAGTAAAGGAAAGTGTCATTCAACAAGAGAGTCAATTAGATAGCACTCATTTCAAATCAAATCTTTCGATTGTCTTATTATAGTATATATATATATCTATCTGTTTTGAGTTCACCCACATAAATTTATTTCACTTCTGTTGAATTCATATATTTAAGCATTTTAAATAATTACACACTTATCATACATATTTGGATTTTATTCTCAAAATTCAAATTTAAATCTAAACTCCCTATCAAACTAATAATTACCTCACCACCTCATCAAACATTTCCCTCCACTCCCAACTGGGCCGAGGTCTTCATGTCAGGGCCACACTAATGCAGGCAAGGCCCAAGTTCAATGACGGCCGAAAATCAAGAACTCTACGGCCCAACCCATGAAAACGCCAATCAGTGAGAACCCCGATCGAGCATTTCGGGATTCTGGTAGAGTGGTAGTTGCCCGGAGGGAAAGCAGATCGCTGATCTTAAATACCTTGCCGGCCGATTACGCATACCCCAAAAATTCAATCGCCGGGAAAATTGACTAGCTTCTTCCTGCTCAATTTCCGTGGAGTCTTCCTTCCCCTTACCTGAAGAATTTAGCCACGAAGTAGAGAGCTAGGGTTTTTTGCGGCAAGTCTTCGGTGAGCTTAGGGGGGGAATTTCGATTCGAGATTCTTCTGCTGTTGAATGTAGCGATGGCGGTTTCCATTTCACCATCATCATCTTCTTCGTGACTGCTGAAATTGAAGTGTTTTCTTGGACTTCATTTCGTTTGGTTTTGCAGGTGATTGATTATTACTGGGAGCGACTATCTGTCTGATGGGCTTGATGGTGGCTCTCCAGCACTGATGTCACTGGTCTGGATTGTGCTTCGTCATCTTGCGGATATTGAAGAGATGGTAAAAGAAAGTTGCGAGACCACTTAGGGTTTTTGGGTTCCTATTTCTGCAGGGTTTTAGTTTTTGGTGGTGTTTGTTTCTATTTTTTTCCCCCTTTCCGGGGTGATTCTCGGTTTAGATAATTGGGGAATTGGATAATCTTAGAAAGTTCTTGCCTTTTAATTGCTTGAGGACTTATTGGGCGAATTTAGCTATTGGGTGGTAGTGGGGAATAAAGAAAAATTCTGATTCTAAAGTCTGTTAGTTAATATCCCGTCTCTCAAAGTCTTGAAATTCCCCTGGCAATCTGCTGTTGGTGGAAGAATTTCCGTGGTGATCTGCTGTATGACTATGTTCGTCTCTGTTTTGTGGTTGCAGGCTGAGTCAAAAAAGGTGATTTCAAGAGTCGAGTGGGAAAAGAAGCTGAATGATGTGAAAATACGGAAAGAAGATATGAATAGGTTGGTGATGAACTTCTTTGTCACCGAGGGTTATGTTGAAGCTGCTGAAAAGTTCCAGAGGGAGTCTGGGACAGAAAGTATCCTCCCTATATTGTTTGTGTGCTGCTGCTGATTTGGTCTCCAATAATGGCTGTTGTTTGATACGCAGAGATATATGCTAGATGTTGTTTTGTTCCTTAATTTAGAAACAGCAGGTATAGATCTCGGAAGTATCATTGATCGCATGGCTGTTAAGAAAGCGGTGCAGTGTGGGAATGTTGAGGACGCAATTGTGAAAGTTAATGATCTAAATCCCGAGGTGCGAATATCCAACTGCTGTGCTGTTCTCAAATGAAACTGCTTTCTAATTTCGCTTTAGTTGATATATATGCTCATCTTAGTTCAACAGAATATGCATGGTTCAATCTTTCATTTATGTTTAGAATTCGGCTTAGTCCAAATTTTGTCCCTTGGCATTGCCGTCCGATCAGTCAAAATCAAACATAAACATTCATATTCTGTTTCTGCTACGATCTTCTTGGCAAAACGTGTCACGAATACTGCAATCATGCTGTAATAACAAGAATCCTTGGGGCTATTTGAACAAGTGTTTCCTATTATAGAACAAATTTTCTATCTGTTTTCCCCATACCTGTTTAGTCCAGGCGAAAATTGTGGTTAATTGGGTAGCATTTTCTAAATCACCTATGTGGATAGTATTTGATTGGTTAGTTCCTAGATGAAATCACTATAGGCCAGATAGATGAGATACATAGTTTCTAGTTTCTTATAATTGCTGGAATAAGCTTACAGATTACTCTGTCTTAGATGCTTCTCTCTCTGATCTTTGACTTGCTTCATGTTAATTCTGTGCAGATACTGGACACAAACCCCCAACTCTTCTTCCATCTTCAACAGCAAAGGCTTATTGAACTTATCAGAAACGGTAAAATAGAAGAAGCCTTGGAGTTTGCACAGGAAGAGCTAGCACCAAGGGGAGAAGAAGATGTAAATTCTGAAATCAATATCGTGCCCCTCATGCATATTTTTATATTTTTTCCAACTTGCTTTTAGTGTTGCCTTTTGAACTCTGATCAAATTTAAACAATAAAAAAAATCTTCTACAGCAAAGCTTTCTGGAAGAGCTAGAGAGAACTGTATCACTGCTGGCTTTTGAAGATGTGGCGAACTGCCCTGTTGGAGAACTTCTCGATATCTCGCAACGGTTGAAAACAGCAAGTGAGGTCAATGCCGCTATTCTCACCAGCCAGAGCCATGAAAAAGGTAATCCGTTATATTTTCTGGGTTGTTTGATCTCTCAGGGTTTGAATCTAGTGGGGGGATTAGATGACTGTGCTGACTATCTGAACATGGTAGTGATCAAATATTGTCTTGTGATTTGGTACATTACAGAACCAAAGATCCCAACTTTGTTGAAAATGTTGATATGGGCACAGAAGGAACTAGATCAGAAGGCCATCTACCCACGAATAAACGACTTGTCTACTGCCACGCTGGAAGACTCTGGAGTTTGATGTAGACGCCTGTGTTCCACATTCGAGGAGATATTGAGCGTATAGGGAAGCTTGGGAAAGAAGCATTCCAGCAATTCTACTACTCTTTTTCCATGTCTCCCCCCAAAATGGATTCTTAATTTCCCGAGGAAGTCCAAGAGGACGCTAAGATTGATATGATACTGTTTAGGGCTTGTGGAATGCTCTTTCTTCTCCTCTTCTCCTTGAAAATGTTCATCGACATACTCATCTGTAACAATTGAAATTTCGGTGTACAATCTCTGCTTCCTTTCACGTTTCTATAGGTCCATCAGAAGGTAAACTCTGCTCGATGCTTCGTAACAATGAAATCGTCATGATTGATCTAACGACCATGGTGGTTGTGTGGATCTTCGCTTTTAGTAAAGGACTCCTCGTCGATCGGGTCTCTCCTCATTGAACATCAATTTGTATTCACTAAACACCTGCATTCTTTGATGGATTACCCTGAGATAGAAACCTACCGGAGATAGAATCAATAACAGTGATCGTTCGAACCGGACCGTCGAAGGTTTGTTGGTCACGGAGTAAGCTCTATTCTTGTTGAACACACTTCATTGTTTACTCATTAGACACCAACCATTAGATAAGCATAATTGGTGGTGGGGTTCTCGTTCTGCGTTTAATGAACTGCACTATTGCTCTGCTCGACTGCTCCCCTTTTATTCCCTTGACCTTGAGTGGCCGGTGGCAGAACACCACATAAATAATTTGGTTAAATTCCCACCTGCATATAGATTTATTGCAAGTTCGGTGGAACTTTTTTTTGCTTAGCCCGACGGGGACAAGTCAATGCTTCCTGATGAGACGACAGTCGCCGCAGTTAATTTAATTGCCAAAACGAGACCACAGCAGGAAAAAAACTAACATCGTCGCAATTATACACCGGAGCAAGTTTTACCGACCAAAGTAACATAACTCCGGCGAGTTCAAAGCCTATGAAAGCCCTACCAAAAGCAAAACTGCCAAATCCATCTAGAAACCGAATGATTCTACCCAAACGACGTAAACCCAGATGGTAAAAATGCTGTTCCCATCAACATTGTTGTTCCCGGCAACCTTCAACGGGTAGCAATACCCGATTTCACCGATGGCGGCGGCTGTGGAGGAGGAGAACCGGCGGCAGCTGTCATCGAAATTCAGAGCGTAACTCGAGGGATCATACTGGAATTTCTTCTTCCCGTGTTGGCTCCCCCATCTGTTCTTCATAGCCTTCTTCACCGCAGCTCTCACTCTCCAGAACAAGCTCCTGCATTGCTTCCTGCTGAAACTGTTGACCGATTCCAGCTTCCCGGCCAAACCCATCTGCGCGGAAACGACTCAAAACTCAAAACCCAGGTTTGATTTTGATGAGATAAGCAGGAAAGTGTTGGGATTTGAGGTTGATCGTTGGGTCAATAGTGAAAAAGGCTGGACCTTTATGAAGAGTAGAGTAAAAGTGACGGGGAAAGAGAGAGGGCCAAAGCAAATAAGGAGGAGAAGAAGCTGTGGTATTTTTGAACACTGGAGGAATTGAGAAGCTGGAGGAAGGAAACAGTCATATTGTTTGCTGCTTTTGGGTAGAGTACATTGGGATGCTCAAATTCCATCAGTTTACCATTTTACTAGCCCGAGAAATGGAAAACACACAAAGGTAAGAAAAATGAAAAACAAAAAAGAGGAAAAATAAAAAAAGGTTTAATCTTTTGCAATGGGCAGCGAGCCAGAGAGAGAGAGAGAAGGCCAGAGAGGCTTCTTCTGCAATAGTACAGACAGTAGCCAGCATAGCTCTATTCCTAAATGGGTCGTCACATCTCTATCAGATTTTCTGGTTTCGACTTTCTGTATTTCCTGTCGTTTGCTTGCCACAATAATCTTCCTCTTTTGATTACTTGGCCGTTTGGGTTCCAAAGGACATGTGTATGATTTAACTTTGTAACAGTGGTATTAGTCTGGTCTGGTTGCGGTAGGAATCTTATTCCTCGGTTTGTTTTGTTGCTGCTGGACCTGTACCACTCTGTTTTGAATGAGGAATGAAGGGGGAGAGAAAACAGAGCGTGACAATTAGATTTGGAACAGTGGATGGAAGGATGAAGCATTTTGGGATGGATTTCAACGATAGATTGTTGTTCGGATTGATTCGAAATCTGTTTGATTAGTGGCGTGGACAACTCATAAACTAACAGGAATGATAACGATAAGTCGTTCATGCTATTTCGTTAAGTTAATGATGAATTTGGAAAGCATATGAAATTAGACATCAACCATGTTCTTTTGATTATGAATTGGACTGTTGCATACAACTATGGCTAAGGCCAACTTGTGAGGATGAGAGGGTTGAAAGTTACATTACAAAATGTTTTTGTTCTGCCAGTTCATTAATAATCTTTTTCCCCTTTGTCTCTTTTTCTTTTATCTTTGGCCTTTCTCTTCAAAGAAACCATCCTTTTGTCTCACTTTAGTGCTCTGTTCTGGGACTTGTACCCCCTTCCATTTACCCCCCTTCCCAAACATAGTGTACCACTATGTTCCAAGGTGTTTACCCCCGTTTGGTTATTTTGTAACAGTAGGGGGGTGCAAAACGTGAGCGTAAATTCACTATTTCGGCTTACCCCCCAAATTGGGGTGCAAGGGAAGGAATGAAGGGAGGGGGAAGGGGGAGGAGGGGAATTATGGATTTTTAATTAGATTATAATTACATAATAATTAATATCATTAATTTTTTCTTATATCTATATTAGTGTAGAAGTTGTTTGGGGTTGACCATTTGACTCAGAGAGCAAGTTTGTCAATGTTCGCCTAGTCAAATCGATATCTCTTAGTTGACCCGAATTTGCATTGAAAATTAGAGATAAGAAGCGTTTGTTGAAAAGATAGAGAGGGACAGTTTAGTTAACTCGATTTACTTTAATAAGTAGTTAAAACTTACAGATTCGAACGTGTTTGACTAAGTTTGACCATATTCAATTTAAAGTTAGGCACGAGAACACCCTTAGGATGACCAGTTACGAGTTGGATTTCGAGTTTCGAGGTTGCTCGATCAATGATTATTATTATTATAAATAATTATATTTGAGCATTATTATATAATAATTTTTTTTATTAAATTTTTTTTATTTTTTATTTATTATTATTATATATTGAATTTTCATGTTATTATTTTGTGATAATATTTTATAAATTGATAAATCTATTTTATAATAATATAATTACTTACTTTTTACTCTATTTGCACCCCCCTACTTTTTCATTCAAACAACAATTGGCTGGTTTGGTTTCTATTTAAAGCTGGAAGAGAACTGAGTTTAGGTTAGAAAGAGGAGCAAAAAAGAGAGTTGGACCATGTAATTTACTATAAAGTTTTGGTCTTTAATGACATTAACTCCTGATACGTACATGAACCTTTGAAATTTCACCACACAACCAATCAGTGTTATCAGCTGCATAAGCTAATTGGATTAATATCGCGCCCAAGATAGCTAACCGCTAATTCGTAACAAAGTTACTCTCAAGAACAATATAGATAAATTAGTTGGACTTGCAATTCATATAGGACAATTCACCGATATGATGGAGATTAAATGTAATCGATGAAGGGTTCGTCGAGGAACCTTTCGACGAGCATGCAAAATCCCAACCAGCTCAAGGTTAACTTTGAATATCTTGTGTTGGAACAGGATTCTGCCCTTCTTTTCAATTTACAAATCCATAATATGGGTGATTCAGTAAAGAGTGAGAAAGCACCTAAAAAAAAGTCTGAAAAGGAAACTGAAAAGTGTGTTGGTATTCAAAGCAGCTGCACATCACATCTATGTTCTGCTGAACCTTGGCCCTGACTGCAGGCTAAAGCCTACTTACTTGCTCCTCCAGCTTCCATCTTAGCTCTAGCCTGTTCTTGCTTTTCTACTATTTGATGGGTTGACTAGAGAATCTTTGTTACAATTTGGGTTCTCTCGAATTTGCTACAACCTACTATACTAGTGTTTCTGTGTTTGTTTGACCATAAACTTTAGAAACAACTACAGTGGCTAAGCATTGATTTTCAATTTTCAACAGATTAAACTTGTCATTTGGAATTTGGAAACAACCAACAAAACAATCACCCGTATGTTTGAGTAATGTGTTCGGCTGGAATTGATTTGAGTAATGAGTTAGGTTTGAACAGGGCATGAGTTCAAAATGAGTAATTTGTGTCCGTCGCGGAGTATGTGATATATCTTGTAGTTTTCTAAATTACATTATCAATGAATGTGATATGACTTGTCTAATCTAGTCAAGTGGCACAAAACACACAATCCAACTACCGAGAATGCATTAGTATGTCTTATTGGCTTGCATTTTGGGAAAAAATCCAAAAGTACCACTGTTTAGAAAAAAAATTCCAAAAATACCACCCAATCCCAAAAAATTCCAAAAATACCACCCTTTTTCAAAAACCGCCACCCCACCCAGCGGTTTGGTCGAAAACCGCTTGTCGGGGGCGCGGTTTTGGACCAAACCGCGGGCCTAGGGGGCGGTTATAAAAAAAAAAAAAAATTTGGACCAAAACCGCTGGGTGGGGTGGCGGTTTGGCCCAAAACCGCCACCCCAACCAGCGGTTTGGTCCAAAAATTCGGTCGAAACTTCAAACGAACGTAACTTTGCACTCGGATATCCGATCGTAGCGATTCTTTTTTTCATTTCGCATAACTTTTCAAGATCTACAACTTTTACTAGGATGAAATTTTCAAAACAGGAACTATTTGTGGATATACGGGACCTTGAGAATAACTTTACCTTTACTTTTCAGAAATCCATGTACATTTTGAAATTATGATTATATTAAAAGTTTTAGATCTTGAAAAGTTATGCGGAATCAAAAAAAAGTTCATAACATTCGGATTTTGGAGCACAAAGTTATGGCCGCCCAAAGTTTGACGAAAGGCGAGACCCGGCGGTTTGCGGCTTGCAAGATCTCAAAAAGTTTGCAGCCTCCATTTTTTGAATCCGAATTACTTTTTGAGATCTTGCAAGTCTCAAACAGTCGGGTTCCGTCTTCGTCTCGAAAAAACGTCATTTGCCACCCCGAACGGCATTTTTTTTTATTTCGTCAAACTTTGGGCGGCCATAACTTTGTGCTCCAAAATCCGAATGTCATGAATTTTTTTTTATTCCGCATAACTTTTCAAGATCTACAACTTTTATTATAATCATAATTTCAAAATGCACATGGATTTCTGAAAAGTAAAGGTAAAGTTATTCTCAAGGTCCCGTATATCCACAAATAGTTCCTGTTTTGAAAATTTCATCCTAGTAAAAGTTGTAGATCTTGAAAAGTTATGCGAAATGAAAAAAAGAATCGCTACGATCGGATACCTGAGTGCAAAGTTACGTTCGTTTGAAGTTTCGACCGAATTTTTGGACCAAACCGCTGGTTGGGGTGGCGGTTTTGGGCCAAACCGCCACCCCACCCAGCGGTTTTGGTCCAAATTTTTTTTTTTTTTATAACCGCCCCCTAGGCCCGCGGTTTGGTCCAAAACCGCGCCCCCGACAAGCGGTTTTCGACCAAACCGCTGGGTGGGGTGGCGATTTTTGAAAAAGGGTGGTATTTTTGGAATTTTTTGGGATTGAGTGGTATTTTTGGAATTTTTTTTTTAAACAGTGGTACTTTTGGATTTTTTCCTGCATTTTGCCATCATCACAAGAATGAAAAATGAGGCTCAAGAGGAAAGTGGAATTGGAGAAGCAATGCAAAGAGAGAGGGCCTCCTTTCTTTCCCACTACATCTTTATTGTGAGGTCATGATTGAAGATGATTGTGAGAGTGTGAGTGAAAGGGAAAGAAAAGCTATTGATTGATGGATATATAGGACCATATGTATAAAAAACAGTTTGGACAAATATGGTTAAAAAAGTGACAAACCTAACCCCATTTTCTATATCACATGATTGATTCTCTTGTGATTTGAAAGTGGCTATCTATCTTAGGTCAAGAGACCAAGATTCAGTGGTCTTCGTCATAAAGATTATAGCTGGATTCCCCATCCTTTCTCATATGACTTGAGGGTTTTCCATCCCATCTTGTTCCCAAAGGGATACTGTGTGTTCTCTGGACTTCCCGGTTGCTTCCTTCTTGAATCTTACTATTCCAGAGTAAGATCAATGAAGTGGTAAGTAAGAAGGTACAACATTTGTTTTCTAAAGTATGATGATGAATTTGGGTGGAGACTCGAGACAAATTTGCTTGTACTAGTGGAATCGAGGAGATCGTTTGCATGAGTCATTTGGTGTTAACTATCAAATGATTCGTTTGTCGGCGAAAAAACTTAACGAAACGTTTGCAAATAA